AAGTGGTGAACAGCTGACAGTTGTCTGGCACAGACTCCAGGTGAGTTGGTTCAGGACTCCAGTGAGGGAAAAAGTGGAGGGCATGACAGACCTGCAACACACTTGGAGAACAAAACAACCCAGAATATCAATGGATGTAACTGGCTTTTTATGCCTTACTATGCTATGACATTTTTATGACTTTTTGTCCCTTACTATGCTATGACATTTTTATGACTTTTTGTCCCTTACTATACTATGACGTTTTTATGACTTTTATGCCTTTCTATACTATTACATTTTTATGACTTTTGTGACTTACTATACTATGACATTTTCATGACATTTTTATGACTTTTTGTCCCTTACTATACTATGATGTTTTTATTACTTTTTGTCCCTTACTATACTATGACATTTTTATGACTTTTTATGCCTTACTATACTATGACTTTTTATGCCTTACTATACTATGACATTTTTATGCCTTACTATGACTTTTCATGCCTTACTATACTATGACATTTTTATGCCTTACTATACTATGACATTTTTATGACTTTTTATGCCTTACTATACTATGATATTTTTATGCCTTACTATACTATGACATTTTTATGCCTTACTATACTATGACATTTTTATGACTTTTTATGCCTTACTATACTATGACATTTTTATGACTTTTTGTCCCTTACTATAATATGATGTTTTTATTACTTTTTGTCCCTTACTATACTATGACATTTTTATGACTTTTTATGCCTTACTATACTATGACTTTTTATGCCTTACTATACTATGACTTTTTATGCCTTACTATACTATGACTTTTTATGCCTTACTATACTATGACTTTTTATGCCTTACTATACTATGACTTTTTATGCCTTACTATACTATGACTTTTTATGCCTTACTATACTATGACTTTTTATGCCTTACTATACTATGACTTTTTATGCCTTACTATACTATGACTTTTTATGCCTTACTATACTATGACTTTTTATGCCTTACTATACTATGACTTTTTATGCCTTACTATACTATGACTTTTTATGCCTTACTATACTATGACTTTTTATGCCTTACTATACTATGACTTTTTATGCCTTACTATACTATGACTTTTTATGCCTTACTATACTATGACTTTTTATGCCTTACTATACTATGACTTTTTATGCCTTACTATACTATGACTTTTTATGCCTTACTATACTATGACTTTTTATGCCTTACTATACTATGACTTTTTATGCCTTACTATACTATGACTTTTTATGCCTTACTATACTATGACTTTTTATGCCTTACTATACTATGACTTTTTATGCCTTACTATACTATGACTTTTTATGCCTTACTATACTATGACTTTTTATGCCTTACTATACTATGACTTTTTATGCCTTACTATACTATGACTTTTTATGCCTTACTATACTATGACTTTTTATGCCTTACTATACTATGACTTTTTATGCCTTACTATACTATGACTTTTTATGCCTTACTATACTATGACTTTTTATGCCTTACTATACTATGACTTTTTATGCCTTACTATACTATGACTTTTTATGCCTTACTATACTATGACTTTTTATGCCTTACTATACTATGACTTTTTATGCCTTACTATACTATGACTTTTTATGCCTTACTATACTATGACTTTTTATGCCTTACTATACTATGACTTTTTATGCCTTACTATACTATGACTTTTTATGCCTTACTATACTATGACTTTTTATGCCTTACTATACTATGACTTTTTATGCCTTACTATACTATGACTTTTTATGCCTTACTATACTATGACTTTTTATGCCTTACTATACTATGACTTTTTATGCCTTACTATACTATGACTTTTTATGCCTTACTATACTATGACTTTTTATGCCTTACTATACTATGACTTTTTATGCCTTACTATACTATGACTTTTTATGCCTTACTATACTATGACTTTTTATGCCTTACTATACTATGACTTTTTATGCCTTACTATACTATGACTTTTTATGCCTTACTATACTATGACTTTTTATGCCTTACTATACTATGACTTTTTATGCCTTACTATACTATGACTTTTTATGCCTTACTATACTATGACTTTTTATGCCTTACTATACTATGACTTTTTATGCCTTACTATACTATGACTTTTTATGCCTTACTATACTATGACTTTTTATGCCTTACTATACTATGACTTTTTATGCCTTACTATACTATGACTTTTTATGCCTTACTATACTATGACTTTTTATGCCTTACTATACTATGACTTTTTATGCCTTACTATACTATGACTTTTTATGCCTTACTATACTATGACTTTTTATGCCTTACTATACTATGACTTTTTATGCCTTACTATACTATGACTTTTTATGCCTTACTATACTATGACTTTTTATGCCTTACTATACTATGACTTTTTATGCCTTACTATACTATGACTTTTTATGCCTTACTATACTATGACTTTTTATGCCTTACTATACTATGACTTTTTATGCCTTACTATACTATGACTTTTTATGCCTTACTATACTATGACTTTTTATGCCTTACTATACTATGACTTTTTATGCCTTACTATACTATGACTTTTTATGCCTTACTATACTATGACTTTTTATGCCTTACTATACTATGACTTTTTATGCCTTACTATACTATGACTTTTTATGCCTTACTATACTATGACTTTTTATGCCTTACTATACTATGACTTTTTATGCCTTACTATACTATGACTTTTTATGCCTTACTATACTATGACTTTTTATGCCTTACTATACTATGACTTTTTATGCCTTACTATACTATGACATTTTAATGACTTTTTGGTCTTACTATACTATGACATCTTTAGGACTTTTTGGTCTTACTATACTATGACATTTTTACGACTTTTTGTGCCTTATTATACTATGACATTTTTATGCCTTACTATACTATGACATTTTCATGACTTTTTGTCCCTTACTATACTATGACATTTTTATGACTTTTTACACCTTACTATACTATGACATTTCTATGTATTTTTGTGACTTACTATACTTTGACATTTTTATGACTTTTTGTGCCTTACTATACTATGACATTTTTATTCCTTACTATACTATGACATTTTTATGACTTTTTACGCCTTACTATACTATGACATTTCTATGTATTTTTGTGACTTACTATACTTTGACATTTTTAAGACTTTTTATGCCTTACTATACTATGACATTTTTATGCCTTACTATACTATGACATTTTTATGACTTTTTGTGCCTTACTATACAATGACTTTTTATGCCTTACTATACTATGACATTCTTATGACTTTTTGTCCCTTAGTATACTATGACATTTTTATGACTTTTTATGCCTTACTATACTATGACATTTTTATGACTTTTTATGCCTTACTATACTATGACATTTTTATGCCTTACTATACTATGACATTTTTATGACTTTATGCCTTACTATACTATGACATTTTTATGACTTTTTATGCCTTACTATACTATGACATTTTTATGCCTTACTATACTATGACATTTTTATGACTTTTTGGTCTTACTATACTATGACATTTTTAAGACTTTTTATGCCTTACTATACTATGACCTTTTCATGATTTTGAGGCTTTACTATACTATGACATTTTTGTCCCTAACTATACTACAACATTTTTATGACGGTTTTCGCCTTACTATACTATGATATTTTTATGACATTTTATGCCTTTCTATTGTCAAGGCCTCATTTCGTAATGGAATTTTTTCATGGTCTAATCGTTAGTTACACAATTCAATTACAGATTCTATGATCAACTTTATCTTTCAGTGTCAGTGACAAAAAACTCTGTCAGAAGTTGACAGAGGGATTTCCCCCTCCATTGTACAAGTACATCTGTCCAGATCTTAGCACTTGAAATTTCAAGTATATACTTGTGTAGTTTGTGAAGAAGAAACAGCGTTTCATATTACAGTCTATAACTACAACTATAAAGTAGCTACAATCTCAAAAATTACCATATTATTAAGTTGACACACTAACAAGTATCAACAAAAAATTAACATCAACAAGTAGAGTCACTGGGAGCCACTTTTTGAAGCACTTGGATTTTTCTGCATTTTAACTTCTTTACAGCCCCAACTTTAAGAGCCCTGTAATGACTAAAATAAACTTCAAGACATCATATTTAATATTTGGTGTCAAATATTTTAAAGTCTCAAGATAGAGGGGGTTTGTAAAATCCTTGAGGCAAATTTGTAATTTTGGGTTCAAAAACTCTCTTCTGGATTGTTTCAGAGGCTCTTTGTGTTCAGCCTGGTCTTCAGTCAGTCCGTGAAACACATGACAAGAAAAACTTTCCCCCTGTAATGTTGTGAAATAATAAGATGTGCAAGGAAGATATATATTGCCACTACTGTGGTAATTGGTTGTGTGGAAGGTTCTTGGAAAAGTTGTCAAAGTGAAACTGCGGGAATTTTTTTCACCCTGGACTGAAGCAATTATTCTGTCTGCACCCTGCCCAAACAGGTTCAACCACTTCAAAATAAAGAACTGCATTTCCTGTTACAACTTCCAAAACATTCTGAGCATCATTGCCCCTTCAGGAAACTTAAAGGAATATTCAACAATGCTTATTTCCCCTTCTTAAAGAGTTATGTGAGAGGATCGATGCCACTCTCATAATATTACAAAAGATGCGAAGCTACAGCAAAGAGACAGTTTAACTTAGTATAAAGACAATCGCTGGAAACAGCTAGTCTGGCTTCGTCTAACGGAACAAAAAAGAAAATTTTGTTTCATTTGTCCATGTTTTGAGATATTCATATCCATATAGATTTAGTATTAGTAGCATTAGTACCATAAATCTACTCTATAGCAAGAGCTGAGATTAACCGTCGCGCTTTTATTTTGAAGGCTAACCCGCCCCGTTTCCTGTTTGACAGTGAGGGGTTTAACGCGGCCGCGTGAGTCAACTGCACTTTGACGCCGAGAAGTAGGGAGACCGGGTAAAGTTATCTCCCTCAGGAGGAACGGTTTGTACCTTAAGGTCAAACCGTCGGTGTGACGCCGAGCAACCGGAGGAATGGCCGACCTGTGGGTTTCCTTGACGGTGCTGGGAGCTGCGGTGCTCCTCAGCGAGGCGACACGCCGAACCGCGGCGCGTCTGTTCCCCGGAGCTTATTGGATTTACCTGCTGGAAGCGGCGTCCACCTTCCAGCTCTGCTGCTGCACTCATGAACTCAAACTGCTGGGCGAAACGGCCCGGCTGGAGCTGCCGCTGAGCCTGGCCCTAACCTACACTATGACGGTCATCCACCTCCTAACTTTCCGGGGGGCGACGTGTAACCCCAGCGGGGCTCTGGAGAGCGTTTGCCGCGGTACCAGCACCGGCAAGGCGGCCGTCATCCTCATAGCCTGCCAGTTCGCAGCTGCGGTAGCCGCGCAGTTTTTCGCAGCCTCCGTGTGGTCGCTGGGTCTGTCCGACATCCACGTAAGGCACCAGAGGTTCGGCTTCAGATGTTTCGACCCCCTCGGAGGGACCGTGCTGGAGGCCGCGGCCGTGGAGCTGGCCTGTGCGTTCATAGTCCAGGCTGCGGCCATGCATGTGCACAAAGTGGACGAAAAACTCCGAGTCCACTGCATCGCTGCTGTCATCACCGCGCTGGTTTACACAGGTGTGTTGATTAACGGCGGGTTAAACGCCACCATGTCTGAAACAAAGGAGTATTGGATATTATTTAATTCTGTCATGCACCACACACACACACACTGGCTTTTCCAAGTTTTGTGGAGATTTCAGTTCAACTGAGATTAAAATTGCCCTTAAAGAAAGTCCTGCAGTCATGACACCTTGTCTTGTGCAGGAATCCTGAGTCAGAAATCAAGTTTTTTAGAAATGTCAGTGTTGAAATTGTGCCAACATGGTGCTCATCAGTAAATACTCACATTACCAAAAGCTCTTTACACAGGGTCATGTGTTTCAGCACAAGAGCACTGTTTGTTCACTGGTTGGTTTCCCAGAAAGAACTCTGTTATTTGAATGTAATTATAGGGAAAATAGTAATACTTAGAGTACAAGTGTCAGAGGAAAAGCCATATTAAAAAGCTGATTTTTAAGATATATTTAACTGTACTTGACTGTAGATATATTTCCAATGAAGCGTCTCAGATCTTTGTCACAGCAGGTTTCATCACAGATGAAGAGACTCGGTCAAATTGATGCTGTTTCATGTTTCACACCTGACCCTCTGCTGTTTTCCTCCCCCGCTGCAGGTGGGAGTATTTCAGGGGCTGTTTTTAACCCCGTCCTGGCCTTCTCCATCCAGTTCCCCTGCAGTGGTCACACCTACCTGGAGTACTGCTTTGTCTACTGGCTAGGACCAATCCTAGGTAAGGAGCCAGAGTGACAGATAATGGGTACATCCCAGTACACACACTTGTGGTATTTGGGAGTTGGGAGTGCTGAAGCATCATATTTCTGGTAATTGCCACTGACGCCCATCTTCCCCTAGAAGCATGTGGAGGTATATCAGAGACACAGTGGATCAATACTCATACAATACAAAACATTTTAACTTGTTTTCAATGATTCATACCTGAAATATCTTTGCTAGAAGTCCGACTGGCTCCCGTTTGTCCACCACAGTAACCTCCTGTGTTTCTCCACATGTGGTCCCAGGTGTGGCGAGCTGCATCCTGCTGTTTGAGAAGGTCATCCCCTTCCTCTCTGGAAAAAGCACCATTGGGCTGGACGTCCCTGCTGCCCAGAAACAGAAGACACAGTAGCAGTGACGTGCGGACGGGCCAGAGTTTAAGTTTTTTTTTTTTAAGCTTTTTATTCCCTGTGTCTGAGAATAATACCAGCGTAAATAGTTTTTTTCCCCCTTGTCATTAACACTTACGACGGCAGCACATTAAGTCCAGTCATGACTCGTACTGCACTTGTGCTACAACGTGGCTGTTGTCTGCAGCTCCTGCTGTCTGTTGTACGGCAGGTTTACCACACACATAACGATATCAGAGTGAACAGCACTTGTACTGATGTTTTCCCAACATATGCTAACCTAATTATGATGCTAATATGTAGCATAGGGGGGTGGGGGGGGTTACAGACAACGTGCTCAAATCAAAGATAGAACAGTTAATGTTGTCGGCTTCCTAGCTGGTGTCTGAAGTGATATTACAAACAATTTTACCAATCAAATTACAGTATTGACACTTGACAATATCAGTCAGAACCAAAAAGTTAATGCCAAGGATAGCTGCTGATTTTTCATAAAAAATATTTTTTATAGTTGTCATGAAAGATTTAAGGATATGCAAGCTTATAAATGCACCTGTACTTAAGTTTTGCCAAATGTTTTTCACATGGAGACTGTGAGAAGCACAACACTAAAGAAGAAGTGAATGTAAGCAAGTGTTACTGTTGAAATGGAGAGTTGCTACATCATTACTTTATGTGAGACTACACCAAATGGGAAACAACATGAAGACGGCTGAAAGCACTGTGGTTTGCAAAACGGGCTGGTTGCACAAATCACCTTAAGTCTCCTCCTAAGGTTTCCTTAAAATGTTAGTATTTAAGCTTTTCTCCTTATCTTAGTCTTTAACTTCAGGAATCACTTAAAGTCAGTTAAATTGTTGCACAAAAGACCAAAGTTCACCGAGGTGAAGTTCCCGTCGAAACTACAGGAGGATGTGATAGCAGCTTCTTTAACGTTACGAGCTTCCCAAAAGTGATAACAGGTATCACAAGTGCTAATGTCAGCAAATCAATGGTCTCCATGGAAACAGTATAATTTTACTGCCGTTAATTTCTTAACTTTTTTCGTTCACTGAGGAAACCTTTTGAGAGATTCTGTGCAAACCAGAAACTTAACCAAAGCACAGCTAAAGGACGCAGAGCAAAAGAAGAATAGAGGTGGTTTTTAAAAGCAGAGGAGTAGAACATTACAGCCACTTAAATTAGTCATTTTCTCTGTGCAGTTTGGTTGATCTATGAGCTTAAAAAGTTTCAGTAAATATCTTCAGTTTTGCAAGCAGGGTGCTTCCAGATGTATTTGTGTTGTTTCTGTCAGCCCTTTTTATTTTCACTGCACGACATAAAATAAGCGCACAAAGTGGGACAGAAGACATGTTTTTTCAAGTGACATTCCTAAAAAAAAGAGAGAAAGATAAACACTATAGCCAAACCTGATGAAAGGCATGTTTTTATTATTACACTAATTCATAATCTTTTAAATCCCACAGTCCTGAAGCACAGTTATTTTAAAGGTGAAGTGAGACAGCACAAAAGGTTGTAAGGTTTGGTCCGTGTACTTTGCACAATTATCATAGCTTTACACTTTCAGGTGTCTAATTGCACAGAATATTTTTTTCTAGCGCACTTGGTACGTAAACACAAGTTAAAGAAAACTGGATTTCACTGTGAACTCTGTGACGCTGACACTGAGTTTTCCCTCTTAAGTTTAGTTGACCAAAGCTTATACTGTTGAATCTTTGTTTTCCTGCATAAATCATGTTTGACTGTTTGTTCTGCTGCAGGTGATAATTTACTGTTTATCATTAATATTGACAAAGAGTTGAAAGTATACTACTGTAATATTTGCATTGGGATTTTAATAATATTCTGTAGTTTTTGGGGGTTTTTTTCTCTGTCAGAACTGCACAAACTTCCATTTCTCTGTGAACCAAGGACAAGGTCATTTACAGCTTTAAATACCTCGAGAGTCTGGATGTCATAATGTGTTGAGACTTGATGATTATGTTGAGAATGTGAATAAAAATTGATTTTCTCTTACATTTCTGACTCAGTGTCTCAGTAAAATGTTGTAATTCAAATTCGTTTCTAAAATTTACTGTTATTTTCAATATAGCAATATTTTGATTAAAAACAGTTTTTATATGATTGTCATTGCTTGGTTTATGCTCAATAAATCACTCATCAATTGAAGCCACTTACAGAACCCCCCCCCCCCCCCCCCCCCTAGACCACAATCTGTTAGTCCGCTTCTTAATACTTAATACCATTGGCTCCTACTGAAGAGGTAAATCTTTTAATTAAAAAAAGTAAATGAAGTAAAAAGGAGGAAATGGTGCATTTGTTGGGGAGTTTACTGATGCTAACAGAGGAGCTCTATGGGACAGAGGAATAAGAAACTATCAGGCTTTGGATACCTTAGACAATACTTGATCAAATACAACTGTGCAATACAAACTGTATTTGTAATTATTTAACATTTATGTTATATTGACCAGGGATGTTTAGTTTTGTTTTATTCCTCCAGGAGGTTTAGATGATCCCAAAGAGGAAAAACCCATAAAATCCCGTCCACCTCTAGAGCACCTGTTACTTTGGCCTACATGGCATCTGTTACATAACATGACCTTTGTGCCCTCTCCTCCCCCCTCCTCATGTCGACTGACTCAACAAAATACCAAGCTCACTCTGCAGCATAGATAACATTCAACACATAAACAACATGGGACAAACATGAGACATGGTTGACAGGGATGTGTCAAGAGGTTGTTGATTTTGAACATTACTCTTACTTACACACTTGCACCACTGTCAGTCTTATGTTACATGCATAGCATTGTAATTGTGGGTATGTTAGCATGCTCATGTTAGCATTTAGCTCAAACCAACGCTGTGATATATTAATTTAGTCAGTATTAAACTAATGACATTCTATTAGCATTTAGCAACTGTTAGCATGCTAACAAGCTAAATTAAGATGGTGAACATGGCAAATATACTAACTTAAACCTTTTCTTTAAAAAAAAAGAATATTACTTTGTATTATCTGAGTCAATACTAGGATTCATAAATATATTCATGTAGAAATACACAGCATTGTTATTACAAATATGTTAGCTTGCTATCATTAGCGTATAGCTAAAAACACTATTCTCAAGTACATAAACAAAGCCGCTGGTGTAGCTGACTGTTGGTCAAAGAAAATGTTTTCCAGTGTATGAGTGTTTTTCAGTGATGATGCAACAAAAACAAATCCACTATTTAAAAAAGAAAAAATCATGAATTAATTGGTAAGAATGGATTTAAAAATCCTGTATTTAAAAATCATAAGATCATCCAAAACACTGGATGATCGCTCCACATCAAAAGTCACACAAGAGTGACATGAGGATTAAAACCCATTTTATTATGACAAATGTACAAGATCAGATTCATAAGAAATAACAGTAAAGTTAACAAAAATGTAAGGAGCAGACAAAACACCAACAACCAGTCTACTAGGGTCTATACACAGTGGACAGGGTGTCTTTCCTCCCAGATTCATCATGAGGTAAATAGGAAACTCTGTTAACACTTCAGTTATTGGCACTGACTTAAATCCTCTCTTAACCCCATCGCAGCCTTTTTGTCGCTCCTCTCTCCTCCGTTCCTGTGCAGGTCTTGCTACTGGTTATTTCATAACCGTGAGATACATATTAATACATTCTCCTTATCTCTGTGGAGAGTATAAAATGGGGTTACTTAACAGCACAGACATCCACATTCCTGTACTCTGACTCAAACCACCAGAACACACACTTCTATTAGTAGAATTGGGTTTGCTATATTCTGTCCGACTAATCTAAAAGCTAAATAATGTGTATAGAAGCCTATGTTGTGTGCACTGCAAGCAGCACATATAGGTTTTGTCTTGAAAGTCATGTTTTGGCCATAGCCGGTATCAAAACGGTATGATAAATAGAGTGGTTTATCCTCTGTGAAGACCATGCTGAGACTAATTTACAAAATATTTTACATGTTCTCTCTTTAATCAGATTCAGCTGTCCTAGATTATTTTCTACGATAAGTCCCCATCTCCCCAAGTTTTTCTGTAACATGCCTTTAGTAGGTCAGCGCATGCTTACCAATGCAGTTTCACTGCAAACGACAAGATATCCTGCAGCATCTACTTCACGAGTCCTTCAGCACTAATGCAACAGGTCAGGAGATAACAGACATCCTTAAAACATGCCAAAGTTTTCTGGTTTTGTTACAAAAAATGTTCCATTTGTGCCAATATTAGTTCCCTACAAAAGAAAACTATTAGAAACTCATGCAATCCCAAAGAATTGCCCAATATATTTTTCCATGATTAAAAAAATGCCTCTAAATATATTACAGCAAAAACTACAGATATACACACAGACTGGTTCCAGCAGAGGTCAGTGAAGTCATTGGTTTGTTTTTCTTTTTCTGTCCATTTCCCTCCGTCCAAAAACCGCATCCTGATGCTTCAAAACTAATTATTTCATGTCAAGGTGTTTTATTTTTCACAATCTTGATCTGGGCTGAGGTCTTAAAGGACCCAAACGTCAACTCAAGATTATGAAAAAAAGAGGATTTGAATAGAAACATAGATTTTGTACATAGGAAGATCCGGGGGAATAGAATAAAAAACAAAAATGAAAAGAAAAAAAGGGTTGTTGTGGAGCTGAGTGTTATTTTAGTTAATAAAAGCCAGGGGTCTGCAGGTTTTTGAACCTTCTATGAAGGATAATGTACAAAGAAAATAAGACACTTTACATTTCAGACAGAGACAACAACAAATAAATGTTAAGATATACAAAAAATACATCATTATTTAAAAAAAAAAAAAAATCACAAAAGTTAACATAGATGTAATGCGGGGAAGCTAGACTAGATCTCAATTAGGAAGGACAAGATAGTTTTACTTCTGATTCTGTTTCCCCAAACAAATTGGGAGGTCACCACTGATACTGATGGCAGCGCACAGAGTTAAAATAATTATATATGTTTACAATATACAAAAGCTACTCTATCACTCAACAAAAAAGTCCAAGGGGAGGGCTGAGAAATAAAGGCTGGTCAACTGGTTGATCACATATATACATTCACACCTTCACATGATGCAAGGGGTTGAATATATATATATATATATGATATATATATATATATATATATATATATATATATATTTTTATATATGCATAACACTTCAGTATCCAGGGTAGAGAACTGGGAATAACGTGTTTTTTTCATCTACAATAACCAGAGCACACACACCAATATCCTAGCTGGGGTGTGTGAAGGGTTAGCTTATCTTATATGTGATCCAAGTGGACCCGATCACCCCCCCCCCCGAAAAAGATTAATAAATAGTCTCATCCAAAGCTTTCGCAAATTAAAAGGAAAATAAGCCAGAACAGTTTAAAACAAAAGTTTTACATTAAGGGAAGTTGCTTTGTGGAGGAGAGTGAGATGAGGAGATTGATACCACTCTTAAATAAGAAGCTTCAGTCACCTACCGACACATGTAGTGTTGTTAATTTGTTAATTAACATGTTAAATCTGTACAAAACTGTAAATATGAAAAAGACAAGATGTGACTTTGTTTTCACCTTGGGAGGGGGGGAGAAGATATTATCAAATTTTCATGATACAAATGTTAAATGTCAAAAATATCACAGAAAACAGTATTAAATACTGAACAGTGTTCAATACTGCAGCTTTGTTGGACTCGATTCAAAATGTAGGAGGTTGGTTGGTTTAATTTAAAAATGGCCGACCAGAAATTACTTACCCCACTGGAATTTGATTGACAACCACTGTCGTTATTTGCTTGTAGTTGGCAGAATTTAGTATTTCTTTTGAACAAAGTGGATTATATTCTAGAGCATGAAAAATTTAGGATTAAACATCTCAGTGCTCACCAGCCTCAGGATATTGTTAAAGACCAAACAGCTGGTAAAAATGATTGTGCATTTAAAGTGAAACTGCTAAGTTAGCTTACCAAATAAGCTGTTTTTTTTGCCTCTTCAGGGATGATACCTGGGGAAGACCTCAGATTATCACCTGTATTAAAAGGTGAAAAAATAGCAAATTATCTCATTGTAACATTGTGTCCAAAGCTGCTTTTTCACACCTAAAAATGCTACTGACTGTGCCACAGTGCAGCGCTATTGGGCTTACCGCCTTTAAACTAGCTTCAGTTTACCAACTAGCTACTGTTAGCATAGCAAGTCATAGCCGCAGCAGGCAGACAAGCAGACTGGTTCTCCCTCTGGTCCTGCTGTGGCTGCTCTCACCAGTAGAAAGGTGCTCCCTTGTACCGAATCAAAAGTAAAATCAGTCACTGTGCTAAGCTAAGCTAAGCGGCTGCTGGCTGTACCTTCATATTTAACAGACGGACATGAGAGCGGTATCAGTCTTCTCATCCAACACAGCCAGAAAGCCAATAAGAATATTTATCAAAATGTGAAATCTTTGCAGGATAAAAAGGTAAAACCAAGATTAATTTTGATGCCCAGAACTTTGTCAGTTATGGAATGCCTTGCTTTACTCCCATAAAACGTTAAGTCCAAGTCATTCAAATAAACAACACATCTTCAACTATTTTCTACACAATAAACAACTTCAGTGCCAATTTTCCCTACATGTAGATGGGTAACGGAGCAAAACTTGTAGAAATCTTGAACATGACAATAAAAAAATTAAAAAACAAAAAGGAGACAAGAGAAATGATGAGTGACACGTTACTAGAGGAAGGAGCTGGTTTGGCAGTGGAGCTGGATGATGTGGGTGGTTTGCAGGTAAAATGATTATTACCAAACTAATGAGACTTGATAAGTTGGTGCCCGTATTCATTATTGTACAATCCCACAGTGACAGCATTCGACTGGCGACAGATCCAGTTCTTACTGTGCCGGAGATTGTTGAGAATCAAGCTCCAGATGACACAAGTAAAAAGGACGACAAGGAAGTGTTGGTGGGGGAGGGAATAATAAAGTTAAGCAATATAAAAATACAATACCACAAAAAATGAAACAGTACACCATTTTGTTTTTACAATTGTTCATTATTGCAGACGTAGTCCACTAGGTCTGTGACTCCTAACAGGTCGTCTTCGTCATCCTCCTGCGTCGCCATCTCCTGGCCAACCAGACCGTTTGGTGCAATGGCGGCGGCTGGTGTGGCGCTGATGTTTTTGGGCGGCTCCATATTTGGGATGAGGCCTGGAGCGGCAGGGGCAGCAGGCCGGCTGATGAAGCCCTCCAGGCTCTTTATTGGGCTCTGTCCGTTGCTAGGTGGCACCTCCACCACATTGCTGTCCAATGGATTTGTTCCCTTTGACTCCTCCTCTGCTTTCTTCTCCTTTGGTTTCTCCTCCTCTTCCTCGTCGTCATCGTCCGAGTCGATGCGGTTCACCCGCTTTCGGATGGGACGATCCTCCTCCGACGAGTCGTCCGAGTCATCGTCCGAGTCGTCGTCCTCGGACGCTCTCCTGCGTTTTAGTGCAAGACGTCTGCGTCGCTGCCGCGAGTCTTCCTCTGAGGAGTCGGCTCTCCTCTTCACCCTCTGATCCCTCGACTCCTCGTCAGAGTCTCTAGAGAAACTCGCTGGAAAAAGAAAACAAGGAACACCTTCAACTGCCTGTAGCTCTGTCACCAACACCCTGATATACTAAATGTATTTATGCAAATAAGATGATTATTTAGAAAATATTTCTGCCAACACCAGGAGTGATAGAAATATCACCTCTATCCTAACGTTGTATTGTAATATTGTGTATGATGATATCGTTGGATCAGTTTCCTCAATTTTAATGGCGTCAAGAGTCAAAGTGTATTAAGCCTAAACAAAGAAAAATCAGCCTGGAGTATTTGTCAAGTAATTTCACACTGCAAACACGTCTGTGTGACTTAATGTGTAACATGATGTGTCAATACACGATCAGACAGAGCTGCTATAAAATGTCATATAAAGATTTGTATTTGGAGCTTTAGGGGCTGTGAGGAGCGGGCAAACTTTCTCTTCATGACCGTTTGGTTTGGTAACCTGACCTCAGTTGAAGACAGAATAACAGCCTGCATTAATAACAACATTTCTTTAGTTTGTTTTTTTAATTTTCCAAGAAATTTTAACAGTCGTTAAAGACAAGTAGTGGCTCTGCCGTTAATTCAGTTCAAAGGTTTCATGTCAAGTGATTCTGAAAGTCTCTGTCCATGGTACTGAAATGGTTCGTGAATTATTTCTAAGCGAGAAGATAAATTATTTCATCTGTAAGGATTTCATGACTCTGAGAAGAGGCAAGGAAAGGGGGACGGGACTTTCTATGTTCGTGCCAATACATTAGAAAAAGGTATTATTATTATTATTATTATTACTAGCATGTGTGACATCAAAACAAAAGGTCAAAATGTCGTTTTAATAGTGTGCGGCGTGTTTCTGACTGACCCTCGCTTTCTGAGCTGTCCTGGCGACGTCTGGGTTTCATTTTTGCCCGGTTGGTTTCTGCCTGAGATCCGTCAGACTCCGACGTCTCACAGTAGTTCACCTTCTTCTTCTGACTCCGCCGAGACCGCCGTCGACTCACGTCAAGATCACTGTCGCTGAACTCACTGGAGCCTTCAGTCACTGGACACAAACAAAACAAGAACAACGGGTTACAAAATAATAAGGATATTCTGGTCGAAAGGACGTAGACTCCTCTGCAGTGGAGTGTACATGTTGCTTGTGTGCTGCTAGAAACACTAGTAATTGTTTAGAAATGGCCTTTTGTAAGTTTCCAGAGCCCAACAAGAAGAGAAGATGTTTGAATGTTTTCATAATAAATTATTTTAATAATCTGTTGATTATTTAAAATGTTGTGGATTCATTTTCTGATTCAGTTTTTTGTAGTTTCAGCTCTAGTTTCATGCTAATAGACTGAAATCGGTTTGTCCTGATTGGTGCAGAGTAACAGTAACATGCCAAGAAAACAGTGGTGTGATAGACAGAGGGGAGCCAGAAATCCAGACTAGGGGTCAGTTTATTGTGTCTCAGGTCTAGTTCTTCAGACGTGCTGTCCGACCACTTTAGAAATCAAACGTGTTTCAGACGTCCACGCTGGAAGGCAAGTTGAAAAGCTGCCTGTGAAGTTGAGGTGGAGATGAAATATAGTTCAAAAAATGGGGACAACACAGTCTCTCCGGATAGACATTCACAGTGTTGCACTCAGTTGCTCATATTAAAAGTGACAGAAATAGTTGTGTAACAAATGAAAAAAAAAAAAGAAAAAAAAAAAAGAGTCTGGCTCCTCTCTCACCTCTGGCTGAGGCGCTGGCACCTGGCCAATCACGGCGTGAAGTGGGTGTGAATGTTGGATCCTCGATTTTGGAAAGTTACAGAAATGGGTGGACAAACAACCCCGAATCCGACATCGGAAAAAAGTGTGGGTGGGATGGGTTTTTTTGTGTGACGCTATTCATCCATTCAATCAGCAGTCATGAGTCATGACATTTATGTAAACTGTGACGTGAACAGCTACACTCTGTAATACAGCCACGGCTGTCGCTGTCGCAGAGCCATAACAAGTTAACATCTCCGGTTACGACGAGTGAAGCTGTGAGGGTCGACTGAAAAGCGAGTCTATCCCTGAAAATCCATCAGCAAAATAAAATCTAGATTTTATTTATTGGCTACATGGTCCAGCCCTCGTTTAAAGTGTACAGAAATAGATGGTTGCCAGCTGCACAGCGGCAGTTGACAGTGCAACGTGCCGTCTGGATTCAATGTTCATCTTCATGGTGGTTTCTACAATTTCCCTTCTGTCTGTCTATATTTATTTATCTATATGTATTTATGTATAACAGAGAGGGGGGAAAGTGAAGTAGAACCTGACAAACATAAATCTATATACCTATTTCATCTTCTTCATCCTCCTCGTCTGACTCTTCTTCTTCATCGTCCGAGTACCCTCTTGGTCTCCGCCGCTTCCGGGAGCTTCGTCGCCGCTTCGGTGGCTTCTTGCTCCGCGAAGATGTACGATGCTTCCCGCTGCCGTTGCTGCCGAAGTCGCTGTCGTTGGAGTCCGCCTCCGATTCACCCTCCGATTCGTTCTCCGACACTACAAACTCTTCTTCTGAGCTGCATGCAAAAAACAAACAAAAAACATACATGTAAATAAATGTAAATGCATCTTTTAAAGTCAAACTCTACTGTCAGTGAAGTTGTGTCTGTTCTTACCTTTCACTGAGGCGAAACTCCTCCTCGCTCTCCTCCTCGTCCACCGTGCTGTCGCTGTCCAGGTCATTGAGTCGCCGGCGCTTCTTCTTGCGCTGACCAGCGCTGGGTCGTGGCGGGCGGCCGTTCTCCTTACCCTCCTCCCCTGCTTGAAGGATGGCGGACATATCCTTCCCTCTGTGGCCTGTGATGTTGGCCATGTCTTTACCCCGACCTGCTCCTGCAGACAATGAACACCCGTCATCAACACCTTAAAGAAAGAACACTTTCTCTTATCTTAAAGGAATAGTTTGACATGTTGCTTATTCACATTCTTGCTGAGATCTTTGTACGTTAAATATGAAGCTATACAGCTGATTAGCTTAGCTTAGCATAAAGACTGTAAACATGGGGAAACGGCTTCGCCTATAAGCACCTCTAAAGCTCACTAATTAACACATCCCATTTTGTTCGATTAAAATGTACAAAAATTACAAAATGACAAAAATGAAATGTTGCGGTCCTTCAGGAGTTATTATGTCTCTCATCTAACTCTCCACAAGAAAGCATATTTATCTTATTTCAATGCACAACTATTGCTTTAAATCACTTTCCCCACAGTAAAAAGTCATGTCTTCCTACCTCCGCCCTCTGCTTCTTTGATGTCTTCTTCAATCGCCTCCTCGATCGCCTCATCAAATTCATCAAATCTGTAAAATTAAAATTAGCACAGACAAGGATCACATTTCACGAGTGGTTGAGCACATTGTGCTTCTCGAGTACATCAGCTGTCTCCTGCTAAGAGAATTTAAAGCCTGCTCAAACTCTGTGCCAAAACCTGACCGTAGGAAACTCGCTGAATCGCTCCAAGTGAAAAGAAAACACAGCATGCTTAATAAGCACCGGGGTACTAACAAGGTTCATTACGCTTGTCAGATGTGATAGTAGACGGGATACAGTCACCCCCTGCAGGAGGAAGGGATGTGTCAAGTGTTATGGATCAAATAGTTTCCTGTTAACTGAGAACTTTCTGAAAGTCTCAGCGGTTGTTTGGCAGATGTTGACAACATTTATTGTCACTGTAGATTAACACATACAAACATATATAACACTACATGGCATTATATTATTCATATTACTATATAATATCATAGGCTATTTCATGAACTTACTATGCGTACTTATACCTACTTACACTACTACACACATCAGTCACACTAAGTCTCATCTTACAAGAATCACTGAATCTTAAAGACAGACAAAAATCAGAAATATGTCTCAGTGCACAAACCTGTAGCTGATGGTTTTCTTCGCCCTCGTTGACCTTCGACCCCAGCTCTTACTTCGTTTTGTTTCTTTCTTCTCTTTGATTATGATCTCTGGCTTTTCCTCCTCTACCTCCACCTGTGTGACAGCGACAGTTTGTCATTCACGGTGCAAACATCAACTGGTGAATATTTTTCCGTCTCATTTCAAAAGGTGTACAAACACACGTTGCACTCACCGAGGGCGTGATGATGTTTTCAACACTGATTCCGACATAAATAAGACGCTCTTTCCTGGAGGAGATAATACACATGAAGAAGACTTAGAGCTTCATTTCAATGTCAATAAAATGCATAACTTTAACATAAGACATTTTAACCTGAACCAATATACTGTTTGTTGTACAAATAATTTGCATATGTCTTTTAATTTTCAAATGTTGGCAGCACTGCAAGACTTTTAATGTGAAGGAGCTGCAATTTCACAGTAAAAGCACTGATTAGAGTTAATCTAAATCTACAAGGAGTGGGCAGAATAATCAGAACATTATAATATAAAGAAATTCAAACAAATATTATGGCCTACAACGGTGTTTCCCAACCCCTTTGGGCTCAAGTCCACTTGTGACTTTGCATCACAGGTTATAGACAAAGGATTTTTCTTTTTCAGGTAGTCTAATTCGAAGGATTTTCTTCTTCTCTTCTTTTTTTTTTCCACAATAAAACAAGCCAGAATGAGAGAAAGGCAAGAAAAAATAAACTTAATCTTGTGAAACTTTATTCTGCTTTCCTTTATTCCCTTTAATCGTCTGGTGACCCCTCAGATTTATCTGTGGACTTCTGCGAGGGGACACAATATCGAAGCTGGGAACCACTGTCCTTAACAATTACCACTGAGTTGAATCGACCCCTCTGACAACAGACACTAATTTAACAATTTGACAAAACGTGGTAAAAAGACGTGGAGCAGGAAACGGAGAAACAGTTAAACCCAAACAGGAGTTAGGAATGAGTAACAGAAGGTATCATTTGCTGCTGGGTGTCACTGTTACAGCTCCTATCACCATATAAAGCACAAGATGTCTCACCTCCTCTCAGCCCGTTCCTTCTTCTTCAAAGCAGCGTCGAGGTTTTGCAGCTGCTCTTCTAGTTTGTCGCAGAGCTGCTTCTGCAGCGGGGAACAAGGATGAAAACATTAAAGCTATGTTGACATTTCATTTACTCTTTCATATCTCTCTTTTTTCTTTTTTTTCTCCTGGTACGTACATGTTGACACGGTGGACAGAACCACTCTCCGTCGGGGATGATCATGAGTGGAGGCCTCAGACAAGCTGTGTGGTAGCCGCTGTCACACGAGTCACAAAGTAAGATCTACAAAGCAGATGTGGACAGATGTTACCATCAATTCTTACTTATTACAAAGTTATTAACACATCTAAATTAAAAAAAATATATATATCTGAAATATTCCTCCACAAATTTTCTGTAAGTTTGGCAAATAAATACTAAATAGAATGAATAAATAAAACCAGTCAGCGCTTTGGCAAATTCAAAATGCTTCATTGTTTCAGCTGCAAACAAAACTAACCCAAAATTAATCTCGAGTGCATGTGTATTGATTTTGGCTGCAGAATGTATTATCTCAGCACTGTGATATTCAGCATCTGTACCCAGTTAACGGTGCCCATCTCACAATCTGAAGCTCTGTGCTTGGATGTTAGTTGCCGAACTGCAACTTTGGAGCCGTAGTGGTTCACCTCTAACTAACTGGAGCGCTTCCATGACTTCAAACTAAGCCGTGGAAGAGCTCCATCTGCGAGTCACATAACTTTGTTTATGGAGAAAAATAATTGGACTTTTACTCCTGGAATTGGGGGCGCCAAAAATAACTCCTACCACTCTCCTGCAACTCCATTAGTCTGTCTGCCAAAAATGTTAAACCCAGTGTGAAAAATCTTTCTGTGTCTGTGTTACTGTTAATTCCAAATGCTGAGCTCCATATGAAAATCACCAATTCGGTCCTACTAAGAAACACTGCAAAAATGAGACCCTTTGTTCAGCCTAAGTCATCCACGCTCTGTGCTTTTGCTGTTGTCGTCTTTCTGTTGATGGCCTTCTCTTGATTTTTTATAACTTTTACTTGTTTTATTGTATATTGTATAGTTTTCTCTGTCTCTTCTATTTTCTTTCTGAACACCACCTGCTAATTAATTAAAAACACACAAGTGCGAAATACAGATTTGAACTATGAGATGTTGTGAGATCCTGTGGGGACCCACCAGCTCGGGGTGATTTGGAAGACCACAATGTTTGCAAGGGTCGTCGTTGGGAGGTAGGTCGTCGTCTGAGGATGTCGAGGAGTCTGAGCTCCGCCTTTCTCGGTTCCGGTTCCGCCTCTTTCTGCTCCGCTCGACCTTGTAGTCTTCGTCGCTGTCGTCCTCATCCTCACTCTCCTCCTCGTCGCTGGACTCCTCGTCGCTGTTGTCTTCCTCATCTTCAGAGCCTTTCTTTTTACGGCGCGTTCGAGTGTTGGACCACCGGACCTTCCGTCTCTTTCTCCCCTTTAAACAAACACAACATGTTCAGCTCAGTGAATCTTATTTGCTTCACAACTCAAGCAGCTGATAACCACTTCGATATTCATGTGTTCATGTCAGTGCGCTATCAGAGTCGACTTGAGAAACACAGTCGAGTCAAAGCGTGATCCGTGAATCCGTCACAGGCGAAGGTCTGACGACAGAGCTTCTCCACTCAGAGAACACAAATAATTTCCAAACATGAATTTTGTAAAAACGTGTGATGAATTTGTAATAAATCCAGAAACGTGGTGGGCTTCACAGAGCAGAGCCCGTCGGATCAGAACCACCTGCAGGCAGGACGTGTTTAGAAAGGTGTTGATTGGCTGTGGCGTCATTTTGAAAGGATGTAGTTTGTGCTGCTGTTGGATTATATAACATTATAGTGAGATGTTTCTAACAACTCTCATTGATATAAAAGGGGGCGTGGGCAAAATAAGAGACACCTGTCTAATATAATGCAATACAATCCTATAGCAACTGAGTGCATGTCTCTGCCATGGAAATTAAACAGAAGATTTAATGAGTGAAGTCATAATCTCTCTGAGACATGTGGGCAATGAATTTTAATGTGGTTGTATCACCTCAACATTTTATTTTGAAAATGTTTCAAAAGCTGAAATATGGCTGCATATATTGTGAATATTGCCACCTGGTGAGCAGTGTTACCTTAGGTTTGGTTTGACCCTCCTGATCCGCCTTTTTCTCTCTTGGTTTCTTCTGTACAACCTTCACCACCTCCTCCTCCTCCTCCTCCTCGTCCTCCTCGTCTTTTTCCTTCTCGGCTTTGTTGTCCTCGCGTTTCTCAGCCGCCGGAGCGGCCTGCGATTTCTCCATCTTCCTGTCGTGGATCTCCACGGCCTTTGGCGTCGGTCTAGAGATCCTCGGCGATCTCCGAAGAGATCTCCCCGTGTTCGTGTCGGACTCTGAATCCGCCTGCCTCTCCTCTCTATGAAGCTCAGCTTTCCTTCGGTGGGCCGGGGGCTTGACTCTCCGACGAACACCCTCCACCTGAGCGCCTGCCGGAGCTCCGCCACCGTTTGCCACCTCTTTTTTTGTCGCAGACTCCTCTTCTTCATTTTTGCTTTTGCTTTCCTTGTCAGAGGGTTTATCAGCGGACGGTTCTTTGCTGGGGCGGACCGGTTTTTCGGTTTCCGCCTGGGGTTCGGCGTCAGCGTCTTTGCTCGCGTTTTGGGAGCCGGATTTCTCCTTTTTGGTCGAGGCTTCGCTCTCTCTACGAGCATGTTTCTCCTTCTTTGCTCTATCAGTTTTTGAGGGTTTATCTACCGTAGAATCCTCTTTACTTTCTTTGTCTTGACTCAGGTGTTTCTCACTGTCCTTTGCAAGTTTCTCATCGTCTTTATCTTTTTCACCTCCCTTGTCAGCATCCTTTTTACTTTCTGATGATGGACGCTCTTCCTCGATTTGTTCGGGCTGTTTGTCAGACACCTTTTCCTCTTTTTTATCAGATTTTTTACCAGTTTCTTCGGAGGCTTTCGTCTTCTCAGCTGGACTGGATGATTTATCTTTCCCTTCAGATGCTTCCTCTGTCGTCTTATGTTCGACAGAGTTCATCTCAGTTTTGTCATCCTCTTGTGGCTTTGTCAGATCCTGTTTAACGGCCTCTGCCTCTGCCTCGGTTGGCCCTGACGTTAAGTCGCTTATCTTGGTAACATCACGTATCGTACTGTCTTCACAGTTGACACTTTTCTTTGTATCCTGAGGCTTTTCCATCTTTTCAGGCTTTTCCGTTTTTTCCGTCTTTTCTGTTTTTTCAGGCTTTTCCATCTTTTCAGGCTTTTCAGGTTTCTCTGAGGCTGCGCTTGTTTTCTCTGGAGTCACCTCTGTGTCTTTTCTGTTATCGGGCTTCTCGGCAGGTTTACACGATTCGGGTTTATCTACCTTTTCAACAACTGAAGACGCCGCACTCTCCTTGACGTCGGGTGTTTCCTCTGATTTCTCACTGACTGACGGCCTGTCGGCTTTTTTAATGACAGTAGATGTTTGACTGACATCTTGAGTCTCTGTATCGTCGCCGTCTTTTACCATCTCTGTCTTTTTAATCACAGATGGCGATACAGTGTTTTCAGAGTCATCAGATTTCTCTGGGGGACCCTCGCCAGCAGGCTGCGCCTCTGTTGTTTTAATGACGTCTGGCTTCTTTTTCGGTGCCGAGTCATCAGATTTTTCTACATTAGTATCAGATGTTTCCGTTTCTTTAGCAGCTTTATCACTAACTTCTGTTTTCTTCATGTCTGTTACAGCCTCTGTCCTCTCTGCCGTCTTAGTTTCTTCAGCCTGACTGGGCTCTGATGTGTCCATGTCTACACAGGCTGGTTTTCCCCCTGCATCTTTTGATTCAGCCTCTTTGGATGTGACTTCATGATTTAAATTTAGGTTGTCTGAGTCATCCGTTGTTAATGTTTTATCAGGTTCCTTTAATGCGGTCTTCTCGTCGACAGTACAAGACTCTTCTGTATTGGCTGGTTTCTCTTTGACTCCTTCAGACTTTTCATGATTAGAAGACTTCTCAAGTGCATTATTTACATCTTTAGGTAAAGGTGGCGACTCTGCTTTCGGTGGCGGGGGAGACTCGTGTGCTTCCTTCTTCTCTGTTGCTGCGGTGCTTTCCTTTTCTACCTGCAACGCTGGATCTTTCTTATCCGAGTCCGTTTGTTGTGACGCGACCGCCTCTTTGATCTTCTGTGCACTGCAGGCTTCGTCTTTCTTATCTTTCGCGCCCTCCTTGTCTGTGGACGGGGAGTCGTTTTCTCTCACTTCTACAGATTTACCTGCGGCTGCTTCGGTCTCCTTCTCTTTGTCGACGGCGGCGTCTTTTAGTGACTCGCTCAATTGACTCTGGACATCTTTCTCTGACGCAGGTTTAATTTCACCGTTAACATGATCATTTACGCTCTGTGCTTTCTTTGTCTGATCAGGAGTCGCGTCCGCTTTAGGAGCGTCCTTGACCTGAGAAACAGATGGGATTTGTACTATGATAGCACTGTTTTTTTCAAAGTCTTCACTAAACTTCATTCCTCTTTTTTTCAAAGGGATTTTAGCCTGCTGGTCGTTCTTCAGAGCCTGCTGGATCTCCTCCGCACTGCTCCTCTTGGCCTCCTCTCCCTTTTCTGCCTTTACTGATAAACACGGTGTTTCAGGGGCGGCTTCACTTGTTGCTGTGCTTGTTTTAGTGTCCGACACCTCCACTGGCTCTTCTTTGATGTTCTGGGCTTTTGCGCTGACGTTTTCTGAATGGAGCTCCGCTTCAGCTCTGCCTTCGACGATGCCATTCAGGGACGATTTGGCCTCAGACGCTTCTGGTTTCAAGTTATCTTTCTGTGTTACTTTCTCACTGTTTTCTGTCTTTGGTGAGACTGGGCGGGCAGCCTTGTTGGAGTCTTTGCTGTCTTCATCTGATGTTACGTCAGTCTTTTTAACTTCACCTGTAATACAAATAAAAGATCAAATGAAGAAGATCAGGGCTGGAAATCTTTGGGAATTTGATTCAGAAACAATATTTTGATTCAAACAATTGTGTTTTAAAGGCAGCAGAAATGGCAGTTAGGCTTCTGACGCAGCAGTGATTATTACTGCTCTCAGTGATTCACACTGTGACCAAACTAAAAATGCAAAACCTAAAACGTTCTAAAAATAAAAAATGGTAAACTGTGACAAAACCATAAAAGAAAAGTGACAGTAATAAATAAAATAAGCTGAGATAAGTAATTTAAAAGAGTTTTACCACCTTCTGATTTGTCTTCATCGTCTTCACTGTCGGGTTTGGTTTGTTGTTTTTGCTCTTCGTCCTTTTTCAACAGCGCAGGGTCGATTTGTGTCTTGAGCAGAGCCACAACCTCAGCCAAGTCGTTTCTATCTCTGCAGGGAGAAAGGTGTGGAGGAACAACACAAGAGTAAATAACACGGTGTACCTGCTTTTATTGAGAACATTAACATTTAAAGTTCATTTCATTCACCGGTGCCTGCAGCGTATTTTTTTTTTTTTCCTCCATGAAAACATCTTTTGCCCGTTTACCTGACGATGCATTTCCACGTCGACTCGTCCAGGTCGTCCTGCTCCTCCACATAAACGCGCACGTTGTCGTCTTGGTCCAGTTGAAACCAGTACATCTGCCCGTCTTTGTCTCGCCCAATTGGCTGCAGACGCATCTTATCCGGGTCCTCCTCATTGATGGCGGTTTTAAACTTCACATTTTCATCAAACTGACTCTCGCACAAATACTGGAGAAAAAAAAAAAAAGAAAGGCAGAGAATGATTCTTTATACCACACCAGTTATCACAAGATGTACTGTACATAATTATCTTCATTGGTTTCGGTAAAATGCAACATACTTAAACTGCGGGAGAGAGAAAACTAAAGTATAGAAACAATTATTGTTGCTGAATGGACGATTCACGGCAGGCAAAGAGGCAAAGATAAGTTAAGATCTGATAGTAAATGTTAATTTCACTGTCAAGAACATTCATTAACAGTCTAGAAGATGTGTTGCCAATTAAGCTGATTATTTTTACTGGTTTATTTGCATTTCTACAGGCAAACAGAATTATTCTATTAATAAAGTTAAACATATGTTGCTGTTTTGACACCGGGCTGCTCACATCCGGAGGCAGGATTTTACACCACAAGCTGTTTATAAATCCTTCACAAAGTTTTTTAGTAACTCCTCAATCTAGTGATTCGTGAATATGCTTTAAAGTGACAGCCCTGGCGTTTTATCATTAACTTACTCTCTCGTTCACTCACTCACTACCGAACTGGGTGAGCAGTGAATTGAGATTTAGGACACTTACTAATCATCATCACTTTGTGTCATCGTTGCAGGTTTTGGCGGCACGTGGCTGTAATCTCGTCTCATCAACAAAATGCTGCACGGTTCAGGGCTTTATATGGTGGATAAATTTCACATTCGGACGCTCAAATAAAATGGCGGATGTGACGACCCTCTCCACCCTGTTGCTTCCCGTGTGTGGGGGCTTCCCTTTGCAGGAAGGTAGGTAGGCAGGTGGGTGTTGCGAATGGTTGTCAGTACCTGGCGCGCTTTGGTTTTGGTTGGCGTTTGGTTTGTGTTGTTTCTGTTGCGCCACCATCCAACCTTGCACTCGCACACTTCTCCACTCATGCACTCACTCACTCACACAGCTGATCCTACAGATGACATACGCCACTGTTAGTTTAAGTTCTCCTCTTAGATTTTTTTTTTTTTTTTTTTTAAAGAAAACATTTGTTAATTGGCTTGTTTGTGTGCGCCTCTCTCTTCTGTCATGGCCGTGCAGCTCAAATCAACAGGCCACCATTGTTAAGCAAGAACTTACTTTAAGTATCCCCGTCTTGGACTCCAACGGCATCTCCTTGTATCCTTTTTCTTCGAGTTCCCATGCCCATGTTGTGTTGAACTCCTGACACACCTGCAAGGAAAACAAGAAATTAGATATTTAATTTTACAAATCAAGGGGTTAATTTTTTTTTTCTGTTTTTTGGTAGCATTTTAAGACTTATTCATACAGACTCACACATTTATGGTGGTCCGGTCAAAGTGTGTTGTAACTTGTAACCTTGACGCTCTGCCATCTTTGTTGTAGTGTCAACATCGTTTCATACTAATCCATCAAAACTCAACAGTTACCAAAGTTATATCAACACCTCTGAACGTCACAGGCTTCACAGTTGTAAAAGATATCGTCTCCACATGGTGAAGAAAACTTATGTCCAATTCCATAAATACACGCTTCAGTGTTACAGTAATTGTAAGCAGAGATTCAACAGACAGTCAGAGTGTCCCATGAGGGTTTGAATTCAGATACTTCATCTCTGGTCTAAAAGCTGCACAAATCAATATTTTTCATATCAACTATGGTTCAAATGGCTGATGTGAAAGGTGGCTTGTAGTAATGAGCCCACAGAGACTCATCACTCGACTGTAGTTCACCTAGATCCTTGTTTTGGTTTCGTCTGAATCGTAGTTTGCTCAGAAGCATTGCGTACATATGTTTAATAAATACAAAAACTGCAAATTAAATATTTACCTTGACTAGATACTTCTCCCATCTGTCTGCTGACACCGACTTGCCGATCTTCCTCAGCAGCTTGACGTGAAGATCAACCAGCAGCTTCGGGACTGAGGAAAGAGTCGACAAAGTGGTTAGTGTCTAAAACCAATTTCAGATATAACTTGTTGAGAACCGTTTGTGAGAGAGATAATGATCTTTATCCTTCTCCCAGCCCTCAAATATTCCTTTTACACAATAATATTCCATAGAAACGCAGATGTAACATGGTACAACAGTAATGCAAAAAATAATAATAATAATAATTTCAGTATCATATGGTTTTCCCTTCCCAGCCAAAATAAGCTTGAGATCATCAGCTTGATATCAGTGAGTTGATTTGTGTCCACTCATATAGAAAGACTCCATAATGATAATAATAATAATAATAATAATAATAATAATAAAAATAATAATAATAATAATAATTATTATTATTATTATTATTAAAAAGCATCTAAAAAAAAACAGGTAAATTTCACGATATAGGGATTATCTTCCCTACCCACACCACACTGGACCAGGTCTAGGTCAAAAACCACTGCACATATACTTGGCAAATCTGGACTAAATTACCAAGAAGAACGTAAAGACTGTTTCAGATTCATGAAAACAAAACATACTAATTGAAAAAACAAAACACACACAGACAGGGCAACTTCGCTGTTCTTCATCTGGTCTGTTTAAAAAAACTCTAAAACACACAAAACATTTTAACAATATTTTACAATATAATGATTTTTCATCACAATGGACCAGGTCTAGATCAAAAACCACTATACCTATTAAGTCTGACCCTATTAACCCCAAGAAGCTCCAGACTGTTTACAATCTAGTTTCAGATTTGTGAAACCTCCTTCACAAATAGTAATGCAGATGTCAATGTGAGGTGAAAATTATTGGACACTTGGCGCATGCGCAAAGCAACAACTGTATAAAAAACTGTCAAGTCAAACACAATAAGAAGGATAAACGGAAGTACACCGACTTTAACCTAATTTACACCTACAAGAAGCCTAATCTGTGGCGTATACCTGCCAACAAAGGTGTGGAAATCACACAAGTGTGCACGAAAGAGTTACTAAATGCACAGCGAAGCAATAAATGTGGATTAAATCATGACAGGATCATCTTTTAGGTGCCAAAATACGTTTTGTTTTGAAAGCTTGGACCGGATGTGCTCGTTGTTGCAGGTGGCTTGGCAGAAGCAGTGCGAAACACTACATGACAAAATATTTTAACTGTAAATAAAGTGCACAATTTCATGTCTGTCTCACACAACGACACCTTTACCGATTAACGACCGCAATCAACTATGAGTTGCATGAATTATCACTTCCTTTGCCGCCTCGTAGACACTGTTTTCTCCGCACATTTGTGTCCTGTGTTGTGTTACGAAGAGCGTTACAGTGGCAGATAAAGGCAGCTTGGAAAAAATTAAGCCCAATTCAAAAGCTAAAAAGTGACAGAAAACCTCGACTAATTCGGCACCTTCGCACTTGGAGAACCGTTAAATTACACACAGACACATTTTCCACTTCGAAGAGCAGCTCTGGGACGCAGTTAACTCACATTTAAGTAAAGAAGAAGGTTAGAAAACCACACAATAACACACAACTAGCTAACATAGCTGCTAGCCTGCTAGCACGGTACCATTATCATTAAAGCGGCGGTGAAGTCTGGGGGGTGTTTCTGCCCTACCTGAGGATGTGTCCTGCAGATATCTCTCCAGCTGAGGAAAAGTGAGCTCCGGTAAGTCCAGCAACGCTCCGTACCGCTCGAGGAAGGAGCAAATGACGGCGTAATTCGGACACAAACCGGGGGAAGAACTCGCCGTTGCCGCCGAAGCAGCCATCTTTTCCACACCACTGTCAAGCTAGCCGGAATCAATCCAACTGCTTCCGGTGTTAACAAAATAAAACGTCGGACAAAAGAAAAACAAACAAACGAAGAAAAATAAATGAATGAATGAATGAATGAATGAATGAATGAACGAATGAATGAATGAAAAAATAAACTCAATTGCTACAAGTAAAGTTGAAAAGTAAATTTCCCTCACTTTTACTCCTCACAGACCTAAGACTTGTGGTAGGAAATTGAAATACTTGAGTAAAGTACAAATACTTCAAAACTGTATTCAAGTGTTGTACTTCAGTAAATGTACTTCACTAATTTACAACACTGAGTTAATGCAGATATCAGAGCGTTTGCTCATTATCTAGACTAATACTGTATACAGCTGTGGTCCATCCTGCGGCTGTCCCATAGACATGGGACAAGATGGGTCAATAACAGCAGCAGTATTTGTATTAAATTGTATTAAATGTATTTACAACAGCTTATCCATCTAAACCTAAACATTATTGATAATTAATACTGATGCTTTAATGTGTACACAGCATGTTACTGTCATAGCTGCTTAAAGTGGAGCTAGTTTTAACACATTTATATACACTACTGTATTTGAATACGCTATTTTATTTATGTACAATTCAAAGGAAAGTATTGTACTTCTTATTCCGCTACATTTATCTGACAGTTACCTCACAAATTAAGATTTTACATATAAAACACAAAAGCATGCTCATGAAATATGATGCTTTGTAATAGGTCAAACTACCCAACAGAAAATACTAAGAGATTAATCGGTGTGTAAAATGTGAATATTTTCTGGTTTCCTTCATTTTCTATGACAGTAAATTGAATATCTTTGGGTTTAAGAGTGTGGATCAGAAGACATCATTCGGCAGATTAATCAATAATGAAAATAATCTAAAATTGCAGCCGTAGTTACTTTATTTAGATGGCTGCAGACTCCACTATTTGGTTACTGTTTGAAAGTCTGAGTCAAAAACAGACAATTTTTGCGTCTGCGATGAACTCATTGATGAAGTTATTTGCTTTACACACAAGAATTGCTTAAGACTGAGCGTTTAAGAGCTCTCAGTGCTTTGAGCTGAACCAGTGGTTCAGAAAATGAACTCCAACCTGCAACATCTAATTTTTTGTCTTCTTCTTTCACATTGATATTTGACACATGGTTGTTATAATAAAATATTGATTATAGCTGCTTTAAACTGCTGAGAAAAGCTGTAACACAACAGAATTCATCAAAGACAAAAAGGAGCGAAAGTTAAAACTGTGACATAATTCAAACAGAGTCTTGTTCATTTTATGTAAGCTATCTTTATTTCACATTTATTTGTACACAATAAATACAGTTAAACATCCACTGGTGTGTAAATATGTCGCTCGACAGCCTCTGCAGAGCTTACATTGTAAAACGTGGGCAGTTTGTCACTGAGTTTCAGATTCAGACTCAACGAGGAACCAAAACCAGTAGCAAGTTAACAAAAACAACTTCTCTGTTGGGAAAAGAGATCTTTCTTTTTTCTTTTTTTTCTTCTTTCCTTTTGTTAATACAACAGGGTAAATGCAAACTTCAAAAATAAGTTTGATGTCATTCAGATCTCAAGGAGATCAACGAGAACACAGCAACATGGCTGACAGATATCTCTTTTTCCTCTGATCGAATCGAACTACGGTTTAATAGGTTTTTATCCTAATTCTAAAAAAACAAAAACAAAAAAAACAAAACAAAACAAAAACAAAAAAGAAAAAACAAAAGCTGTGCTATTATTTATACAGATATCCATCTCCAAGCTCTCTGTAAACTATTAATATTTCAAAAACAATACGATCAAAAGGTCATATCTCAATCTCAATCAAAGACACTACAATGGCTATTTAAGGCTAAATAACGCAAGAGCCGATAAAAGAAAAGTATTCATACCAATATAGCTGGTAAACAAAACGTCAAACAAGAAATATTGAACAAACAATGTAGCATCCACAATACTGAAAAGGAATAAGAAGACATCAAAAAGTGCTTCACTATGACAGTATAAGATTTTTTTTTATTTTTTTTTTTTAATTGGACTAGCTAGCAGCTCAGGATGGTTTCCTCCTTAAAAATAAAGGCGTGTTTAAACTGCACATTACCTCAGTGTCAACTGTCACCAACTGCAACCTGCTCCTCAACAAACCACCAGCAAAACTTTACTGGCAACATTAGAGTCATAATAACATTTCTAGATCTTTATTTTACAACACGAGGAGAAAAAAAAAAAAAAAAAGTTAGACTATGCATGTACGCGCTACTTTTCTCCCTTAAATGTTCAGGAATTTCTCAGCATTTTGGTGCAAAGAAAACTAATATAAAGAAGCAGGGTTTAAAAATTAACCATAAAATGTAAAAGGATCTATTATTTTGTTCAAACGTTTCTAGGAGATTCCCCCTACCGACACAACAATCACTCAACTAAAAATTGCCACTTTTCCCTTGTTTGTGTAACCGTGTGCAGTTACAGTCCGTGTGTGTGTTCGAGGAGAGGACCAGCCTCGCCCGCTGCTGGCGTTTTGATCGAGTGTGGAGACAACCAGACATTTGGTTTTGCGTTGGGAGCTTAACGTGCTGCGACGTCCTGCCAAATATCAACTCTGTTGCATAGAAGTAATCCAATTGTGAAAGCTGTCGACAGCTGGACATCAGTTCATGGAAATACGAGAGAAAGAGCCACACAGTCATTGATATAGTGAGACGTAGCGGTCGGATACGTTTGAAATCATTATTATTATTATTATTATTATTATTAATAATAATATTTCCAATATCGATGAATTTACCACAGAAAAAAAAGACTCATAATTCTGGTTTTGAATATGATCTCATTATTGTGTGAATGTGGCTGTAAGACGTGATGTTGAAGTAATAGTTCGACACATCTCCGCTTTCTTACAAAGAGTTAGACGAGAAGGTCGACGCCCCTCTCGTGTCTCTGTCTGTTTAACATGAAGCTGGAGCCAGGAGGCGATTAGCTTAGTTTAGCTTAGCATAAAGACTGGAAACAGGGGGAAACGGCTAGCCTGACTCTCTCCACAGTTACAGACCTATTAACGCCTCTTAAAGTGTTTTTTGATTCATAAATAAATCAAATCAGTAAAATGGGTGTCAAATTACACCAAAGTAGATTTGATGATGTTTTAAATGCTGGTATGACGAGATACCGAGCTGTTTTAAAGGCATTTTAAACTAATCTCCTCACGGCTCCAGGTCCACACTTATCACACAGACATCATCTTCTCTTCTGATACTCTGCAACAAAAACTTCCCAAAATATCAAACTATTCCTTTAAAACGCTTGTGTCCAGTAGCTGATAATGATCTGTAGTTAATTTCTTACATTAACAGGTTTTACTGTACTTTTGTCGTCACATTATCTGGCACAGTGTCACTATATCAATTTGAATAGTGTGTGTGTTTTTACCAGGACTGATGCTTGAAGCCGGTGACAGTGAATATTCTGTGTAATTATCAACACACTTGTTTAGGACTGAAATAATTCATGTCTTAGTAGAAGAGCTGGACAATAAGGACAAGAAGGTGTGTACTTTTTAATAAACATTATATAATATTGGTCCTATTGATCGGTCTTATTCGAATACGAGACAAACTCTGTGTGAGGGACTAAAGAGAAATTGGGAACAGGAGAGGAAGTTAAACAAGAAAGGCACAATATTCCTCCGCAGCACACTGACCCAACGAGGACAGAGCGGAGGGCCTCTCCCGGCCTCCGGGCGTCTTCAGGGGAAGTTTACGTTTCCTCAGGTTTCCTTTGGGAGTGCGTTTAGAGGCGCAGAGCCGCCAAGTCCCAGCTGCTTTGAACAGAGCCATCGCTGCCACCGCCACCGCCGCCGCCGCCACCACCAGGGCGCCGCCTTCACACCAGCGTGATCTCCACCTCCTCCCTCCGCTTCACCTGCCCACGAGGATGCTGCTTCGGGGGCGGAGGAGCAGCACGAACCTGGACACACGATGGCTCAGTTAAATACAGCTAAAAATGTTTGTGTCAACACTTTGTATTTGATTTAATGTGAAGTGGAGGAAAAAAAACAAAACAAACTGAATCCGTCTCCACCTCTTTGATCCAGACTGAAATAACTCAACAAGTATTTGATAAATTAATTGCTTTTATTTGCTTAAATGATTAACATCAGAGCAGACTCCCTCTCTGCGTAGCTGCATTATTAATCATACAACTCGTCATTTTGTGGTTTATTTTCATTTCAATTTACTTTTATCCTAAAATCAGTTGGATGAAATCTTAAATTTAAATTAAAAAGCAGCTCAGTCTTGGTCTGAACTAAAACCAGATGTTCACAACATTTTCATCAACTACTCTTATAATGACTAAAGAAAGGTTTATATGTCTACAAGTGTTTGTGTTGACTAAAACTACACTGAAATATTTCTGGTTTTCTAAAATATCCAGAGTTTTGATCGACTAAAAACTGACTAAAAATTGACTAAAAATAAAAAAGATAAAGTTGACAAAACATGGACATGGAGTTTACTCACAGGTCGAATGGTTCCTGATCCACTCTCTGGGTATTTGGGGGGTTGTGGGGAGCCTTGCGCTGGACCTGAGGATGACACAGATAACCGTTCAGCTGAGTTACCTCATCGCCGTTAAACTCTCCTTCCAGATATCACACTCCCTTCCAAATACTTCCATGGATCTTACTCTGAAAGGGGCTTTTGTGGGGGGCTGGTGGCGGCCTGTGATGGCCGTTGTGATAGGCGGGTGGTCGGCCGATGGGAGAGGCTGTAGCGCTGCAGGGACTCGCCAGAGGGGAGGACATGGTGGGCGTCTGAAGGGGGCTGCTGTGGAGGGGCCCCGGCTGGAAGGGACTGCGAGGGGATCGGTCGCACTGGGCCAAAGTGGAAGGAGAGGCCTTGAACACAGAAATACAGAAATTTACAGGTAAAAATACGAAACTTTGGGGTGAGAGATCGTAAATTAACTGGTTAAATAACTGATTTTAAAACCACTGGTGGAACTATATTTGAGAGGCGTGTATTTCCTGTTATTCTCCCACCTATAAGTTAAGAAGGAGTGCAGATGAATTAAAGAATTGTACGTATAATATGTATAATAATGGAGCATCAAACATACCTGCGCACTGCCGTCTCTTTGTCCGTCTCCGTTCTCGCTGGCGCCGGCGAGATCCTCCACCAGAACGGCGGGGAAGACGCCGACGACGCCGTTGAACTCTCCCTCCCAGAAACCGTCGTCCTCGTGGGTCTCTCTGCTCAGGATGCGGATGATGGCGCCCTCCGGAAACGACAACTCGTCGTCCGTTTGCCCCGCGTAGTCGTACAAGGCCTTCGCGAACGACACTGCGAGAACGACGGGAAAAGTTCAGAAACTACAACGTAGCGCAACATGGTGCAAATGTTTGGACACCTCTGAGGAAATGACATATTTTGTTGATTTTTGAAGTGAAAAAACATTTTTCTTTAAACTCTTACTTTTTATTTCATGAACTTTAAAAACTGAAACAGTAACTGCAGCATGTGAAAAGTTTGGACATCCTACTGAGTCAGTACGTGCCCCCCCCCTTCTCTCCCCCTGCAGATACCACAGCAGATAACACTTCTTGCAGCAGCAAAGAGTCTCTCTGTTCTTGATGAAAGTTTCAACCTCTCTTTTCCTGCCTCAACTTTTAGATATTTTTAGTTTGTCTCGCACTCAGCATGTTTAACAACCACCCACAGATTTCCAGTGATGCTCAGGTCAGAGGAACTGTGAGGACTTTTCCAAAAGCTCCGGCTCGTGTTTCTTGAAGCGGCTCGTGGTGGATTTTGAGTTTCTCTTTTCAGTTTCATATGCATTTGAATCAATTCTTCCATTCCTAATGTCTGCATTAACTTCTTTTCACATCACGGATCAACAAAAATATTTAGTACAAGCGTCCCTCACCGCTGGAGTCTCCGTTGACAGACCCGGTTGGTAGTTCAGTTTCAGGTTCAGTGGAGTTACTGGAGGAGTGGGATCGGGCGTCGAGCGCAGCCAGAGACTGCAGCATACTCAGCAGGCTGTTGGAGGAAGGCAGCTGCAAGTATTTCTCTGGGACGTAGCCCACCTGCCCGCTGCGGTTTCTGGCCTGGAAACGCAGAAAATAAATACTACCGATGATGACGAAGGATTGGAAACAAACAACGAGCTGAAACACTGAAATATGTGTCTGTGGAGATGTAGTGTACCTTGACCCAGTCCTCCATGTCTCCATCATCAATGACCTCCAAGATTTCCTGCTCCTCGATGGTCAGTTCATCTGGCTGAGACGCCTAAAGACAAACAAACAAACAAACAAACAAACAAACAGTCAGTTTGTTTGCATGAAAATAAGGTGAAGCAGGAAGTAGCAGCTAAACGAGAGTGAAAAAGTCACTCGATCACCTGTAGGTCGGTGTCCTTTCAAACACCCTAATATTAACAAAGTGAATTCGACACTCTCTCACGTCATCACTTCAATAACAGTCTCATTACTAGAACACGACAAAGACGTCTCTTTATCAGTGTATATATATATAAATGGAAGCATTTGTCGGTGGTGTCAAGTTTAAACCTGCAGGAAGTGATTTTGGTTTTTTTTTTTTGGCCACTTGGTGGCGACGGAAACAAGTTATCAACCCTGTAAAGTCGAGGGGAAGACATCGACTACAGTCACTTAAAAAAGGTTTGCAGGGGTTTTAAGATGATTTGCAACATTGCCAATTACACTAAGGATCATTTTCACTATCGATTATTCTGCTTAACGTTTTTAGTGATTAATCAATTAATAATTTCTTTCTACAAAACATCACAAAACTATGTAAAAATGCATTTCACAATATCTTAAGAGTGCATTGATATGTCATTAAATATCTCGTTTCGTCTGTCCAACAAAACAAAACAAAAAAACATTCTATTTACATTTATTTAAGATCAAGAAAAGCAGAAAAAAAAAAGATCTGTGGCATTTCTGGCTTGAAAATGACTTAAATATTTAAATTAGCTGCAGATGAAGAAGTTATGTGTTGTAATAACAGCAGGTTAAAGTTTGTGCACAGTTTGTATCCCGCTGGCACCTTGTAGGAGTAGAGCACTTTGCAGGTGAGGGGATAGTTTTTCAAGGTGCTGGAGGGACTGGAGCTGCTGTCGTCCAACACTTCGCCACTGTCCTCCATCTCCTCCTCGTCCTCTCGATCCAGATCCGCTGTCCCCTGCAGGAATGATAACAGCTAGATAATCTGTACTCTGCTCCTAACATGTAGATAAGGTTTGGACATTCGTGCTTGGTGCGTCTTACAGAGAGCGAAGGGTCGTGGGTGCTGAGGTTGTTCCAGCGCTCGTTCTCCAGCTCCTCCATCACCTGGTTCATCGCGCTCTTCAGCCACGTTTCGACAGCAACTCCCGCCTGCCGCAGCAAGTCCAGGCGGGCCTCTGCTTTCACCTTCACCGTCTGCCGTCACAAAATAAAACACAGAACAAACATGATAACGCTGCTATACGTTATTGACAAACGCAGAAGATACGCCACCTTTTTTGTCTCGGTTTGTTTCTGGTTGTGGGAAAACTGCCGGTAAAACTCGGCTGTGGATTAAACAACCGAAACATAGATCGCCTTAAGAGGAGGGTATTGCTCCGCCTCCAACCCGACACTGGCAACCACAGTATTTTCCGACAGTATTTAAGTGATTTTATCATAAAATTCCCCGTTAAATGGATCTTCTGTCAACAAATCACTTTTATAAGAGTGATGTATAAATATTTGATAAAAAACAGAAATGTTTGAACCAACTGCAATAAAAGTCAGTGCACCCCTTCACTTGTGAGATTCTACTTGTTTTCTTTTTAACAATATTTTCTATGTTATTTTGATTGGACAGATTCGATCCTCCTGGACACGGACGATTTCCGTCTTACACGAATCTGTAGAGAGATGTTTGATTCTTTTCAGCTGCTCTTTGCCGGAGGGTTTGTTGCTCTACCTTCTCCTTTATAAAACACCACTGCTATTGGATTCAAATCCGGGGGAAACACTCAGCGCGGTCATGGTTTTCAGTTCTTTACAAACTCACTGTGTGATTTTTGCAGTGTGTTTTGGGATCATTGCCACGTTGGGAAATTCCTCTTCTGCCAAGCCGCTTGAGTCCGGGACTCATCTCTTCCATCAGTATTGCGGTTATGCAAACTTATATTCAGAGTGCCGTCTATAAATGTCGTCTCTCTAACATCCTTTTACACTTTTGCATCCTCACTGTGCCGTCCCTGCGGTAGTCCGGGCCGGGTCCACAGCGAACGTGCTGGATCCCATCTGATCCAAACAAGTTTATTTTGGTTTCATCCGACCAAAGAATGTGCTGCCAAAAACTTTAATCTCACAGTTTTGTGAACAATGGTTTTCTTCTTGGACGCCGTCTGTAGAGGTCGACTTCATGCACTGTCTGCTCAGTCACAGAAACGCAAATTTCCACAGATAATCCCCGCGCCAAGTTAGAAACACTAACCTATCAGTTTTTCAGTGGAAGTTTTCGTAAATAGAAAATTGTATGTGGCGTCATTTTTTTTTTTTTTCGTGGACGACCACTGCGTTCCTATAACCTCCTAACCACTGCTGCAAGCGTGCTCCGGCTCATGTTCAGTGTCCTACTGATGCTCTCACAATCGGGTTTGTTCAGGCAGTTCCTCTCCTTGTGGAGATGTGTTGCATTAGACACAACCTGGGCTCAAAGTGAGAAAGCTGCAGTGTTCACAGGTTATTTTATAACACAAAGTCACAGGTTTAATCACTTTTGTAGCATTTAGGTTGTGCAGTAAAAACTCTTTATATATTTATGTAAAGATCAAATACCCTCCACTTCAACTTAAAAATAAAACAGTTATTATAAGATGGTACACATTTGAATCCTTTAGCATTTTAGTGATATTGCACAGGGGTTTTGTTGCATACTGTATCTGGTTCATCTGGTCATTATTAGATTGCCTCCTGAGCAATACACAGTCAGCAGATGGATTTAATTTGTAGTTCCGCTTTTAAAATTCATGCTCAAATCACTCATCAACTATCACAGAAAAATGTAAATACAGAAAGGTTTTCCCCCTCTGGAGCAGAATAAATCTCTCCACTGAAACCCAGGATGATAAAAACCCTGACGCTCATTCACCGTCTCAGGGTTTTAACGAATGATTATCTTCATTATTGATTCATCTTAAGAATCTTTTCTCAGTTAACAGATTGATCCTTTGGTCTAGAAAGCACCAGGCAACATAGAAAAACGCAATTCCCTCATACGTCTTGTTTTGTGTGACCATCAGTCCAAAACACAAAGACATTCAATTTAGGAAAAGTGTGAATTCTCATATGTAAGTGCACAAAACCAAGAACTCAACTGATTAACTGATCATCTAAAGAGCTGCAGATTTATCTTCTGTTTACTGACTAATCAATTAATCGAGTAATCGTTGCAGCAATGAATACTTGGATTATTACACTCTAATGTGTCATTTCAGCTTTTACACCAGCAGGTGGCGCGCTGGAGCCACCTTCAGTAATAAGACGGTGATTGAGAAAACAGAGAAACCCACTTCTTACTCCATCTCACACACACACACACACACACACACACACACACACACACACACACACACACACGTTACCTCTGCCCTCCGGAGACTCTGCCTGGCCACCTCCATCTTCGTCTCCAGCTCACTGTTGTTCTGCTCTGACGACTCCTGCGTCCCATATTCCTCCAGCGCCTTAAAGAAAATAAAAAATAAATCTCACATTAACAAAATTGTCTGAGCATCATCAGAAATAAAATAAAAATAGAAATAAAATAGAGACATTATCTGAGAGTGAGTCATTTCCTCATTTCTGGAAACAGAAACGTCGGATCCTGGTGTGCTGGAAACATGAAGGTAATGTGATGTAGTGGATGTATTGCTTCATCGCCTCTTCCTTCACACGCGGTGGATTGTTTTATGATCTCCGGGTTTAATATTATCAAACTGATCTGCTTTGTTGTTTTAAGGCCAAATTCCAGTTCACTGACAAAAGCTTCCTGTTGGTCTTTAACCACTCAGTTGAACTCTACGACAACTTTACAGTAAAATATTATGACACATCTGATTAACTGTGTGTTATACACTCAGATCGACTGGTGACGCAGAGGCAGATGTTTTCAAATGCCGTCATTTTTAGGATGAAATATTTTACATGATTGCATTATAAATTATATTTATAACAGCGTTTCTGTTTAATTCTGACTTTGTGGCTCATTGTGTGTCATCTATTTAATAATGTTGTTGTCTCATCTTGGCCAGGAAGGAGATTACTAATCTTTACTAGACGAGTAAATAAATGTTAAAGAAAAGAGTAAATGTTATTTTTTGGTTTCTACACATATATTTATATATAAAAAATATTGTTTCCACTATCAGAGATCCTGTTACCTCAAGATCCCTTTGTTCTGTTCCTGGTGCGTCGTTTCCTCGCTGCACAAGGAAATGATGGTGTTATCTTTAATGGATTATGGACTGATTTATTGCCTGATAACATCCTTGTAAAAAAAAAAAAACTTGGCAGGTTACTTGTTCTTTACGGCTTTGTGCTGATTGTTCTGCCTGATTTGTAAACGTTATTTGAAAAGTCACAGGCAGGTAAAACGATTTCAGAGCTAAATCCTCGAGGGGAGAAACTGAGGAGACCAAGTTTCGTGTCGACCACTTGAAACTTAAAACAAGAGGCACCCGGATTGCCTTATGTCCCGCCGTGACCTGTGGAAACAATAATTGTTGCATGTGCAAAAGTTTGGGCCCTACCGCGTCAATAATACCCCCCCCCCCTTGCAGAGATCACAGGTTTTCTTGCACACACAGCATGTTTAAAATCTCGCCGCAGATCTTCAGTGATGTTCAGGTCAGAGGACTGACAGCTTGTGTTTCTTGAGGTAGCTCAGTGTGGATTTTGAGGTCTGCTTTGGATCATTGTCCTGTTGTAGTAGCCAGGCTCTTCTCACTTTTACTTTCTTGGTGAACTTCATGACATTTGCCTCCAGAATCTGCCGATATTTAGTTGAATCCACTCTTCCCTTTTGTCGCATGTTTTAATTTGTCGTATGATGGTGGTATAATGTTTTTTTTTACTCATATTAATATTCTCTTTGTATTTATTTCTGTGTGTTCTTATAAATGATATAAAAAATTAACTTTTGCAGCATTAATTCTTCTTAGGGGGTCTTTGTAATATCTCTGCAGGGACTACAGACCTTTTGACCGTCTCTTGACACACGTATATTAATGCGCAGTGTTCCTGTTAAACAAAGTAATAGCTTCACTGTGTCACTGAGTGACTATCATGTGTACAGGATGTGGAGGCTTTATCTCTGGCAGTGAAGCTTGCCCACAACATTATCTCTTCATCGTTTTCATCTGGTTCTCACCCTCTGTGTGTGGATGACGCTCTTGTATTCTCGCGCCACGCGACTCGCCCATTTCCTCGCCTCCTTATCCAGGCTGTGCTCCTCCGCCGTCCCACTCTCCTTCTGCAGCTGCATCACCTACAAACGCAGAGAGAGAGAGAGAGAGAGAGAGAGAGAGAAACGGGGCCGGTGAACGAAGGGAAGATAAAGGAGAAGAACAGAACAAGACCATAACAATACTTATGTACCAAGATAACAGAGATACTGTCTATCAAGCTGCTGATATATGACGGTTGAGACTCTTGTTTTGACTCTTGATTTGTTACAGTGAACAGACAGAAATATTACTTAATGCATTTTTAATCATTGCTTCTCACCAGAACACCTTTAAGACGCCCTTGTGGTTTCCTAAATGCCGCCAGTGTAAGTTATATTTACCATTTCTGTTACGTCGATGTGGCAACTTCCTCTTTACATATTACACGGGCCAAGTTTAAAAAGCGTATTCTGAGAGAGATATTCACAGGGCCGGAGCTTGAATAGAGCATTTGTCTCAGCATCAGCACCACATCTTTTACATGTACGAACCCTGAAGACCCGTAATGTAAAGAAACATCAGGCGGCTCTCAATTATGTAAGAGGGGGAGGGAGCACCGAGAAACAGCGTCACTCAGTCCGTGGAGGCATGTTGGTGGGTTAAGTAAAAAGTGAACGTGTTTGCCAATATGCTATTTATACATTCAGCAGATACGGATTAACACTATCATTCATTTGGAGTCGTGTTTCCAACCAAGAAAACACCACAAGACCAATTTCACTCTCTCTTTTTTTTTTTTTTTAAACTCTGCTTTGGTCTGCGCCAAGATCCTGAGGGAAATATCTGCTAAATACTTTTATACTGTTCACCAGCTGGGCTCGGATGTTTCCTGCCAGACGTTCGGTGCTATGTTTCTAAGATAAAGTTGATTCATCAGTGGAAAAAAAAAGAAAGAAAAAAAGGCAGCTATCTGCTGCTGGAATGAGGTTGATGAGAGTGGTGCGTCGACCCAAAACAGTAAAACTGTGATGTGTAAAACTGAAACAAAACAAAACAATGACTATTACTAAAACAACCAAAAGCCTTTAAGGTGTTACTTTCATTTCCATCAAAGTTTAGCCTGAGTCTCCGATCTGGTCCGAGCCAGTCACAGCTTTGTAGGCAAGATTAACAACGGGATCATCACAGTCTCACGCTGGATCCAGAAACATTAGCTACACCCGGAAGAGAGACTGTTTTAAAGCAAAATAACTGCTAAGCTACCAGCTGCTAGCAGCTGCAGCTTCTGAGCCAACTGAAAATGATGACGGCAGGATGGATGCGTGACTTTCTACTGGCTGTTTAGGGCAAAACAAGACATGCACGGCACATCCTGAACAGCTGTTTGAAAGGTGAAATACTTTACGATGAGTCAGTTCCTTATATTTCTAGTTAAGGAGCAACATGAGCTTTCATCTGGAGTCCGGTTTCTGGGCACCTTGCAAACGCAAGTCCAATACTCGCTCCGTTTTAGCTCTAGTTTTTGGTCTCTACCGCTCTCCTGAGGGAAATATTTGTCTCTTCAGCTGCTAAATGCTTCACCGGCTTCTCTCTAGACGTGTCAGTCTGCTGTTCGGTGATGAGCAGGAGGGCTACAGTGGGTGACAGTGAACCTAAACACTGAATTTACAAACCGGTCATCGTCACCGTTATTATAAAAACATGGGATATAGCTGCTTTAAAGATTAAAACACATCCCTAAACTTTGAGTTAAGAGGTTTCCACATGACAACAGTAGTGTGTGCGCATTTGTGTATGGAGGGAAAAGGGCTGGGGTGGGGAGGGTCAGCGCACTCTGATGAGGCCCACTCACAATGCCTCCTTTTCACAGATGGGCCGTTCACAGGGCCCGGCCTACCTCCTGCCCCTCCCTCCCAGTTCAGCTCTATTCCTTACCGGATCCCTCTGTCTGGTGCAAGTGGTATGGGGAGGGAGGGAGGGGAGGAGGAGGAGGAGGAGGGTGGTGGTGGTGGTGGTGGTGGTGGGGGGGGACTGGGCTCTCCACCACTAATGTTTTCTTTAGGAACAGGCTGCTGCTTGTTTGACTTCCAATGAAAACAACGCCGGCGTTTGCAGTTTGAACAAATTGTCCAGTGTTGTCCCGAGGAGCAGAGGGCCAGTGCAGAGGAGAAAGGGACCTGCGGCTTGGAAAGACGTATGTGTGACATGGACATTACATTACATCCATGTGCAGCAGCCATCAGTAAATCACTGGCAAATATAGTCACCAGGGGCGTCTTAAAAGGCCGATAATAAAATATCTTTGGACTGAAGTTGACATTTATGCTGATATTTAATGTTTGTTTTATAGAAAGCAAAATATGCAATAAATGACCCGTATGGGTGGAGAACTGTCAGAAATAGATTTGAGTCCACGTGGAGACAATAAAGGCTTCATGAACAGGTGTGCAAAAGTGCAGTGCGGAACAGATTGCACTCGAATTAGCGCCTGTGACTCAGGTGGGATTTGACACGGTGCACAAGCTGTTGTACGATGCAAATTTAACACACAAAACCTGACTTTTATAGCCCCAAGTATTTAAACATGGCAGCAGGGAGAGCAGATTTTGATACGCCCAAGGCAGGAGATTCAGGCTGAAAACAACACTGCATTGAAAAATAAACACACAGGGGGGGGATACATTAGTGGAGGCCAGTAAGTCCAGTTTAAGTAACAGATCCATGAATTTCCGTGAAACTTATCAGATGCCAAAACGCTCCACAGCAGTTTATACTTTATAGCACTGCTTGGAAAGATTTTACAACCCTGGAAAGTTGTTACCGTTCACGTTATTTCATCAGTTGTGTTGCAGCAAGGAGGTGAACAGCGGAGTTGTGTCATTCATGTTCATGTGAATTTGCGTGCGTTTAATTGGCCATTGTAGCACCTTGCTGGATGACGTGGCACTGATGTTGACTGGCCTCCCTCATGGAAATGAAGGAGGCGTTGGAAGCGTCAACTCTTCTAGATAACAATTCAAATTAAAAAGGCCAATACCGTGTGTTTGCAAACCGGTCAAAGTTCACGTCCGGTTGTGCATGAGGTTAGTGGAAAAGACTTAAAAATGAGGATGTGTGGACAGAGACGTAAGACTCTTATGACTCAGACAAGAGATGACACAGGTGTGCACTGCATGTAGAACGTTCCAAGAACAATTCAAATGGAAAAACCTTCATTAATTATCACTACATCCATCCGTATTTGACATTAAACAAAGTCGTTGAAAAAAAAAAAAAAAAAAAAAAAAAAGGGAAAGTACTACACTCAACTACAAATTAAAAGCAGGGATTATCTGTTGGGCAGGTTCGTCTAATTTTTCACATTCTTATGTCTTAAGCAACCAGAACAAACTATAAACAAAAAGCCCAAAATAGCGCAGCACTGAGGAGATGTGCAATAATGATTTTTTTTTTTTTAACGGCAGCTCGCAGCTTTGTGAGGCTGTACGACACCAACACGCTGATGTCAAGCAGGTATAATGTTTACCATGTTCATATGGTAATAAATGCTTTAGGCTCATTTCAAGTGGGAGAACAGTGTTATATTAGTGCTGCACGATACGCAAAAAAGAATCATAATGATTATTTTGGCAGATATTGCGATTTAAATTGGAATGGTTGCTTTTTCATTTAATTTTCACACATAAAAAAAAAAAATAAAATGATAATGATGTGATTTTTGTTGTTTCTTGTACCAAACAAACATGTTTCCTTACATCTGAAGTATATAGTATATATTTCGATTAATTGTGCAGCCCTAGTGTTGTATAAGTTCTCCACATCTATGTGAGTAACAATACATGTGATATAAAAATAAATATAAGTGGAGTTTCTGACTAAATATCCATTTATATTATCCCTCCGCCTTTTTGTATTAAACATTATAGTGTGTTTGCATTAAACACTGAACACAGATTGGGAATATCATTATTTTCATGACCAAATATCTGCAAAACTAGTAAGAGACCAAATTAAAATTTTGACCTAAAGTTCATCCTGAGGGGAACATGAATGTCTGAATCAAACTTCATGGTAATGCATCCAGTGAATCCACATCCCGCTCAGTCATCAGGATGCCCATGAACTATTTGTTCCACTTGAACTGATTTAGTCTAAACAAATTAAACTGTCAACTCTTGAGCTTTGTTAAACGTCGGACAGATTGTTCCACTGACCCAGCTCCTCCGGTTTGTTTTAATTGCAGTGTTTTACATCGGTGGTTCCCAAACTGAGGGTCAGGGCCCTTCAAAAGAGGTCGCAAGATAAACTTGAGCAGTCATGAGGAGAAAAATGTCAGGAGGAAACTTTGAAAAAATTTCTTTTCAAACTTTTCTTTCACAATTCCTGTTTTCATGGGTCACACTGGGTAGTTCCAACATTTTTCAAGCCTTTCTAAACTTGAACATATTGAGGGAAACAAATCACATTGTTGAACCGCTCTCGACAGAAATATTCAGCTTGCTGTTTCTTGGTTGAGGAACTGCCTCCCTGAAAGATCCCGAGCTGTATTTGTTGATGGTGTAAATTCTAACATCTTAAGGATCCGTAAAGCTGTACAGCAGGGATCTGTCATAGGACCACTACTGTTCTCCCCTGCACATTTATAATATCATTCATAATATCATGTTCATGCAGTTAATACAATTTTATATTCAGCAGCTTCCTCTTGCGTCCAATTGATTCCCTGGTCTTACAACAAGCTCTTATTGATCTCAAACTGGTGTTAAACCAAGACAAAACAAGCTCCCAAACATTGACATTGTATTGATTTTCTACTCTGTCATGTCTTTGCCACGTCACTGTTTACAGAGATGTGGTATCAGTAGGTTATTTTTGGCAACCTAAAAGCAAGACTTTTAAAATAAATAACCAAGTGTTAGATAACTACAGTAGCTGACTGCCAACAGCTCGTGACACGTAAAGCTGAGCACAAGTGGATTGTACTGCAGGAATGGTATGAAAAAGTTTTCTATGGATTTTTTGGTACCGGTTCACAGTGGAAAACAGCTGTTGTCCTCCATGACAGATGAAGCAACAGTATGAATTTTTCCACAATTTAAAACAAATGATGGTCCAGATGTGACAGTCAGAAGTGGAAGAGGTTTTGATTTCTGTGGATGTCGAGATAGTGTGTTGTCTTTGTTGCCATTAGTGTCTCATAGAAAACACAAGACACCATGGACAACTGTATGTAACACACCATCTGCTGCATCAGCAACTTTGAGCTGTGATAATCACCAAAAAGATATTGATCGCTTGTGAATCTACATCCATGTTAAACAAGTCTGGGGACCAAAGGACAAAGGGAGAAAGACAGAGAAAACCTCTCTCTTGTGTTGTACAGTTCACATCTGACATTTTATTCATTGAGCAATAAATAAATGCAACAATAAAACATCAGGATTTACCGTATCCGAGTCGATGGGCTGGTATGAGAAGTCCGGGGCTTGTTGAAACATGGGATTCTTCTGTGCAAACAGCTGCTGGTGAAACTCCTGCAGCACCTACACGTGTGTTTTTCAGGGGAAAAGAAAAGAAGGAAAAAGTTTAAAGTCAAGAAACAACAACTCTATGTGCACACATAATGCAAAATAAAAATAAAAACTTTTTGCCTTTATTGTGAAAAGTTGCTCAGTGTTTCTAGTTTCACAGTAGACCAGCAGCAGTTAGTGCAAAGCAGACAAGACTAAAAAGGTGGGGCCAATTTAAAAAAAAGATTTGTATCGGATGCCCCCCAGTTTAATATATCTTTATCTGCAAAACCTCAGTTCACCACTTCAGACAAATATTTGCCTCCGGCGGCTGACATTTAGTAGCTCATTTAACCAAATCTATTTCAGCGTGCAGATAAAACGCCTAAACATGAAATTTGTTATTGATTGTGTCCAATACGTTTCAGGGCGGCAGCAGTAGATGCGTGACATTATTCAGCAGGACTGCATGTAAAATGAAGGCAGTATGCAGCTGTGAAACACTATGAGCAAGTACTGAAAACAAAAAACAAACAGCTAATGCAGCAAACCCAGTATATTTCACTTTCAGCCCTGTATCATATTCTTATCATATCCCTACATTAACTTAGAAACACTCTGATAGGGTTCATTTTACAGTTAGCATAACATACTTGTGTGTGATTTGTGACATAAACAGTATAATATCTTACACACTATGCACTAGTATTTTATACTGCATAAATAACAGCAGTATTTCAAATTATTCTTATAAGATTTCTCCTCAGCTGCAGAGTTTATTATTTTTTTCCATGATATCAAACAGAGTCTCAGTTAAATAAGGTAGTGAGTGCGTTCAAAGGTTCTCAAGATAAAAGGGGAACATAGGTGGAATATTCCCAATGCATATCCTGTTATCAGTTCCTTATTTAGTGTCTTTATCCACATTTATCTTCACTTTAATCTATCACTTCATTTAACAACATAGATTCTGTTATTCGGCGAGGAATAGTGAGTTTATCATATTTCTCTCATGATATCAGGACCGTCAGTTTTTTGCGTTCTGTTTGTCTGCTTCAGTCAAAACTGAAATATCTGTGAACACACCCTGTCCAGCAGTGTGGACCAGTAAAAACAAGAAAAGCCTGAGGCTACAGAATTAAAGAGTGATGCAAAAAAACAAAAACAAAGGATTTTACTAAATAACAAAAGTCCTCTGGAGAAACATATTGGAGCTGATATCTTGTTCCCATTAGACAACTGGAACCAGAGGAGGAGAAAGTATTTAGATTTCTATTTGCTGTGATGAGAAATAGATTTTGAAACTGACCACAAAACACAACGTATTAAAGAAATTATCACATTCATGGGCGCTAATCAAAATGTCACTTTACACAGAGCGCACTTGAGATCTGTTCCAGGGGGTTTGTGTTGACACAGGAAGCACATGGGCTGAAAGAAATGTGAGCTCTGTTGAAAACCCCTCTCCACCCCACTGCTTCTCTCTCTTAATGATTTGTTCATATTCCTGCCTGTGCAGAAACAAAATGCCGCCGCAGCTCCAGAGAAAGAGGCAGGATGACCCGAACACAAACAGACTCAAGGAGGCCGGCGGCTCCAGAGCTTGTAACCGAGGAGCACCCGAGTAACTCAAACCATTTCAATTAATTAGCAGTCGGCGAGGCGGCAGAGTTCAGCTCCTCCAACATTCACAGAGAGTCTGAGTGATACTGATGGATTAGAGACGTCCTGAACCTGCCGCAGGATCTGAGCTGATCCGGGCGCATTTTAATGGATCAGCTACAATAAACCTGATCAAATGATCCGATCCTTCCTTTACTGTATTCGACTGTGTTTTGTCCTGCTCAGCCTGCTAGAGCTGCAAAGCTAATCTACTTTACGACAGCAGGTCTCGACAGTGCGAATATTTCATTGTGTATGTGAATGACAATTAAGAGTAACTCTGAGTTTTAACAACCAGATGGGTAAAATACATGGATTTGCTAAAGTCAGAACTTTATTAATCCCAAAGGAAAATTTGCTTATTATTAACATTTTCTGCCGAACCAAACCGTCACATTAAAGGAGCAGCTTCTCGCTAATAAACATTAACTTTAAGCCGGCAACTTACTATTATTTTCATTATCAATTAATCTGCAGACCATTCTCTTGATTAATCAATTCTGTTTGATGTTTCGATCTGTAAAATTACTGTCACAGTTACATTTTACAATAAAACAGAGACAACCAGGAAATACTCACTCTGAAAATAGTTGGTTCATTTTCAATCAGTCAATCGACGAATCGTTACAGCTCTAGTTAATTCCATGAATAACTTGACGACAGGCTAAAATTAAACTCGTCTAGTCTGGTTCAAGTAGCACAGGTGAGAGAGAAGACATGAAGTACATTTAGTCCAGTGGGTTTGAAGACTTACCCCATTTGAGCTGTTCAACAGCTGGTTGAAGGTGTTGTGTACAGCCTGGTAGGTCTCCAGCTCAGTCTGACACAGTGACACCAGGTAATCTTTTACCTGCTCGTAGATTCTGCCGTCTAAGACCTGCAGACCACGACAGACACACGTTTTTAGCTTTACAGTACGTATCCCACCGTCCACCCTCTCCTACTCCGAGAGCGAGTCCTCACCTTGATGCAGTCCATGAGGTCCGTGTCGTAGTAGCGCTGCTGGTGAGCGTTAGCGGCCGCTAGTGTGAGAAGGTAGTCGTTTCTGGCGTGCGTGGCTTTGGAGTTACACTCGCTCCTCTTGGCTTTCAGCTGAAACACAGAGGATCACACCGCTGACTGACTGTGGAAACCAGAATGTGGAGCAGATTATTGGATGTAAAGATCTCACACCTTTACACTGGCCCGCTGAAGACTGGATCTGGACTGGAAGAGACTTAGCTTGGACCTGAACACAAGAAAAGACAGACGATCAGCACATCAGCAAATTTTGGACAAATTCTTGAAAGTTGGGAGAAAAGCAAGAAGGTTCACTGTTCGCAGAAGACTTAAAACAGTAGACAGGGTCAGTTTTCCCGTTATTTAACCCACATTAATTAATTTAGGTTTAATATGGAGACAACACAGAGAAAAGTGAACTTAAAAATCGCACGTTTCTGCAGAATAATAACAGTTTTTGCAGTTTTTTTCGACGTGTAGATTTAGTGTAAATCCTTATGAGTGTCTGATTGCTTCTGGAGAAATATGATCTTCACGTATAACCAGGTTACTGTTTCAAGTGGCAGCTGAATGAAAGGGGAGATCAATACACCGAGCGATGCCTTCTCACTTCTAAAACAAGTCCCAGTCAAACTGACTGAAAACAGCTTACATAAGTCAGTTTCCACTGTTGAACATTTGACTATTTGTTAAATTCATACACTTTTTCGCCATGAGGGAAAAACACTGTTCTCACTGGACTGGTCTTCATCTCACAGACACACAAAGAAAAACAGAACAGAAAACTGAAAGCAGCATCCTCTTTCACTACTGCAGTTAAATACAGGAAAGTTAAAACAGATTTACAGCAACCAGGTTATTACAGTCCATGTAAACATGTTCTGATTAGCCAAGTAACCCGGTTTCTCTGAGTGACCTCGTTACTGGTTAAGCGCGTGTAAACGTGCTAATTAGCATGAGAGCTGCAACACACACATGTGGGAAGTGTCACAACAGAGAAGAGGGTGAAGTAATTTTGTGTAAAAACATTTTTAAGCCCATCAACACTGAGATTAAATTATCCAACTTTACGGTCTTGCACCCTCGTGACCTGCAGTCTCTGGAACGGTTTAATTCTGCAGACATTTGGAAGGTTGAGGCAAACACACCTGGAAGTTAATACCCGTGTGTGTGTGTGTGTGTGTGTGTGTGTGTGTGTGTGTGTGTGTGTGTGTGTGTGTGTGTGTTTACACATAAAGTAGTATTTGTAGTATTAGAATAAATGCCAATCCAGCTACTAATCCTTTCCAACAGCAAAACTTCACAGAGCTGTGTCTGGGCTCTATAATAAACTTTCCTGACGGGCAGAAAAATGTCTGCAATGTGGTGAGTCAAAGTGCCAGCTGTTCATGTTGTGCCAGGACAAAGTGTTGAGAATGAGGGGGAGAGGAGAACGCTCCCTCAAAACCAGCAACAACAGTCTGAACGTTAGTTGTTTGACGACTATTTTCACAATCAATTATCACCCTGAACTCGAGAGTAAGTTTCGCTTATTGTTACTTCCCTTGTGTGTTTGAAACGTCACTGCAGAGTCATGTTTTTTCGCAGAGACTGAAGCTACAACAGCGTTTTCACGTTCATCTGCTGAGGAGGGGAAGTACGAGCATGATTTGTGACATCACAACTAATTTGGAAACCAACCGTGGTACAACAGGCAACTTACACAAGCGTGATGTGGAAACATGAAGCCTCCGGCGCACAAACACTGACAGACGACTTGTTTCAGTGAACTAGGAGAAATCGTGTATCCAACAGTTTGAAAAGCAAATCATTTGGATATTTATAGATTCTTGATTTTCCAATGAGGGAGAAGGAGTAGATGTAATTTGAAAAATAAATAAATAAATAACCAAGTAATTGAATTTTTATGGAGAAACCATATCATACACAAACTATAATTAAAAACAGAGACTATTTATATGTCTTTAAACATGTTTGGAGAGGATATTTAACCAATTAATTGTATGGAGTATGAAACGTCAAAAAACTGTAAGTAAATAAATAAATAAATAAATTTTCAAATTGGTCGTTTTGTCCGACCAACCGTCCAAAACCTAAATTTATATTGTTTATTATAATTAACGACAAGGAAAAGCAACAAACCCTCACACTTGAGTTGCTAGAACCATCAAACGTTTGGCCTTTTCTGTTTATCAGATGATTTTCAGCTCTAGTTGTTTGCGTAATGTATTTGCTCCGAGGCGCTTCCAGTGACAGTTTTACAGGCCAATATTAGTCCAGAGATTAAACAAGATTCAACGTCAACTGATTGGTATTTGAGCTGCAACCATTAGTTGATTTGAACTGATCTGAACAGAAAATTAAATCAGGAATTGTTTTGATAACAGATTAATCATTTAAGTCAATTTTCAAGTAAAAATGTCACAGATTTTATGGCTCCGGCTTCTCTGATGTGAAGATTTACCGCTTTTATTAGACTTTACTTTGTGCTCTGGAAAATCATCTGATGTTTACACTTGAAACGTTAGCTTGTAGAGCTGTGAATAACACCCCCATAATAATAATTTGGATCGTACTTGGCGTCCAGCTCTGCCTTCTCCCTGACAGCCTGTGCCATCGTCTCAGCCTCCTGGTATTTCTTCCTGCTCTTCGTCAGCTCCTTCACCGACTCCTGCAGCTCAGCTTGGACCACTGTCAGCTGTTCGATACACTGAGGACAACAAGTTGGAGACACACGACAAAAAAAGAGAAAAATTTACATGTATGCAAATAACTTTTCCCCCGAAATGCAACTCCTGAAAAATATGCAAACACCTCTTAATAATATCTACAGAACGTGTGGCGTGAGTAATGCCGGCGTGGCATGCGCTATAGAGGAGCAACGATAGCATCTCCCGAAGGGTGAGGGTGAACAAGAGCAGCATTGTGGGCTGCAGGCGGTGGAACGCGGCCAGCAGAAACCAGAGAGCAGCACTGGTTACGTTTCAGCACTGAGTCACGGCAGCCTCGGACCTTATGATCAGGGAAACACGCTTAAACCTCCAGACGCCACCGTGCAGTAAATTGCTGATTATTTATGACGAGAGCAGCTGCTGCGACTTCTGCCCTCCACTGGCAGATTGCTTATCACAAAGCTTATCAGTAATACGCTGGTCGTTTACACTGAGCTCCTGCTGTAAACGAGTCTGAAGTGACACTGAAAGGAGGACAAAGAACGTGTAAATATGTCCGCTACTACTAACAATAATAACTCAGTCATTATGGCTTTCAGTGGAGCTCAGTCACGGCTCTGTTGCAGGTCTAATATCAACAGATACAGATATATCGTTTTGCTCTGCTTGTATAAACACACACAGTATCTCTCTTTTTATAAAAACCATGACAGCCTCGCCCAGAGTGTTGTCATTAACCTGTATTTTATCAGTGCCGGGGAATGACTGATTATTAACAGGTAGTCACTGTTAACTCACTATTTTATATTTGAGTAGTTTAGAGGCTTACCCACAAATCAGTCTGACTGGTATATTAGCCGATATTACCTCAGCAGATACAACTGTATTAGAATATATGTGACAAGATAAATGACATGAAACTGAAGTCGAGAAATGCCAACTCTAGTTCAGTTATCTGACAACAGAAACAGAAAAACAGGTAAATAAAGCTGCACTGAAACACTGAAGTTTAACAGACTGTCACTCTCCCTTCTCTCGCTCAGATTTCTCCCTAAACACAAACATGAAAAACAAATTTTGCTGTGTATGTGTTGAAACAACTTTGATAGCAACTGAGATGTATGATTAAATATTAATCTTAAATCAATTAGCAATAAATCCAGGCGTTTATTCAGCACACAGAATGCGTCTGTTTTCACAAATCTGGTTGCAAATCTGTCTTTGTTTTCCAGGACTACAAGACAATCAGGATCCAGTCCAGAGGGTTTTAGTGATGCAAATGAAGTTGTTTGGTAACTGACGGAGGAGGAATAACTTGTGCAGCTCTGGTGCACTTTACCAGCTTAGTTACAACAATAACAGTTTATGTAGCTTTCTAACAACTATTCATAACTTCCACAAACACGCAGACGACTCTCATGAATGAAATATAAGTGAGGGTTTTGCTCATTTTTAACCCAGGTCATTGAATTATAAGTGGATCAGATAAATGCTACTGCATCTTGTTATATGAGAGAAATCAGTGGCGCCTCTCTCTTCCTGTTGCTACACACTGAGACTGAGACTGAAACAAACAAACAAAAAAAAAAACGTCTCTTTTCATTGTCACCTCCAGGGGCTTCTTCCACAGACTGCTTAATGACTTAGTGATGTTCGGGAGACGTGAAGATTACGTACACATCTTTTTAACATCTGGCTAAAACGTGTCTCACAATCGGATTTCAATCTGTCTGGAATTCCTCTTGGATGCTTCGCTTTTATGACACTGGATAGCTATTCAATCTGCCCGAGACGCATAAAGTGGCTAAATGTACGCGGGGCGTTCGGACCAAAAACTTTTAAACACTGTAAAAAGATCATCCTGACATTTATACGATTCTGGGTAAAGCTTTAAACAGCTTAATTCATCCCAATAAAATGAAACCAAACACCTGAACGAATCTGAAATGTTATGATATACGCAGCTCTGGTCCAAAATAATGTCAGTGTTATGTTTCAAAACCCATTTTGTCAGACCTTCCATCAGATTCAGACCGACTTCCCTATTGCTCATACTGGGGAAAAAAAAAGAAAAGACACACACTGGATGACATCAGTGGAGCCGTGCACATGGTTGTGTGTATTATAATAAAAAAAAGAAAAAGAAAAGAAGGACACAGGTGACTGAAACCTGAGCAGCGATGTAAGATTGACCTGCATTACCTTCCTCAGCTGCTGCTCCTTCTGCAGTCTGGCCGTCTTGGCCGGATCGGCAACCTGGACTTTGTAGTTGTCGCAAGTGCTGATTCTGGACTGGGTGACCTGGACTGTGCCCTCCAAATAGGCCCTCCATACACAATACATGTTCCTAAAGAAATCGGAAACACAAATACACACGGGTTCTTTCACACAACAGGTCTGAGATTATTGTCTCACTCTGACGAATTTAAGTTTTCGATCACTTTGGAGCTACGGCTGCACGATTATATCAAAACAAGATCACGGGCCTCTAAGAAATCAGACTTATGTGATATCGATTCTGCAGTGTTGACATTAGAGTTGTTTTGAGTGAGTCAAGTGTTTGTTTTGATTCTTCCAATGAGTCAAAACAAACACTTCTGATTTCCTCCCTAAGCTCCGTCAATTACTCCATGTGACGAATCGTTTTCTTGATTAATTCTTTTGTATATAACATTTCAGAAAGTAGTGAAAAATCTTTGTTTAGGAGAAAGGAAAAACATTTAAGAAGCTGCAACCAGCAAATTCTCATATTTTTGCAAAAATAATTATGCAATTATATAAAAAAAAATTGCTGCCAATTAATTTTGTGTCCCTCAACTCTAAAACAACACTAACATATACGGTGGAGAAAGAAAAAGCTTTTTAGGAACAACAACAAACACTGTGTCAGCGTCTTGAAATATTTTTTTCATGACGGAAAAAGTTGTTCTTAATAATTGAGGGAGAAAAATCAAGAACACAAATCTGAGAAGTGACTAATGGTTGCTGGTTATTTTCTTGATGAATTGTTTGGTCTACTATGAGAAAACAGTGAAAAACACACATCTCAAAACCCAAAAATATTCAGTTTACTACAACGTAAAAACAAGAAAAGGCAGCAAAGTTTCACATGTGAGAACCTGACTCCGTCACGTTTTAGCTTAAAAAGATTATTTAAACAATGAATTAACTGATCGTTCCAACTCTAAATACAATGAATGTTTGATTTGACACTGAAAATGTTAAATTCAAGAAAACAACAGGAAAGAGTTCGAACAATCGTCCCAATCGTCGAGGACTTTACCTGTGGTCTGCTTGTTCTTCTGTCAGACTGTCTGGCCATTCCCTCTTTAGATACTGGTTTGCCAGCTTCTGGAGGGCCTGCAAGAGCAGAGCAAAGAGACAAAAGCGAGGATGACCTTTCAACCTTTGACACCGACACACATTTCCTGCGTCTCATCTTCACATGGGACGTGCTCGAAAGACTGTGACCCCCCCCTGACCTTGTCCCTATAAACCACCAGGCGGCCAGAGCGTGAAGACAGAAGCATAAGGAGACACTTTATTCTTTCATCCAAACATAGGAGCAGTAAAGTCAAGACCCCCCCCCCCCCACACACACACACACCAGATACACCAGATACACCAAACCAATTCAAAATACACACTCATTAAAAAGTACTTTCTGGTCACAGTCAGTTGCTCTTTCAGTGTGATTCAACGCTGCATGGACTCGTTCACCTGTTTAGAGGTCGGCTCACTTGCTGGTTTTTTTTTTTTCTGGTTTAGGTTCAATTTTGGAAGAAAAAAAAAAAAAGAAAAAAAAAAGTAATTCATTTAAACCACATTCACCCTTGGAGATATATTAGGTTGCTCCACCTCGGGCCAGCAGTGAGGTTAACCTTTGAAGAACCAGAAATAGTGGGACAGAGTAAACAGCAGGAGACACACACACACACACACACACACACACTACACCACACACACACACACACACACACACACACACACACACACACACACACACACACACACACACACACACACACACACAAAAAGGAGGATATCTGGATGAGTGTATTTTTGTTATGTCAAATAATTCACTTCTTCTGAAAGAACTTAAATATTTTAAGCACTCTGCAGATGATCTAAATTGAATTGATTTACAATCACAGATTGACGATTGACGTCTTGCTAAGAATTTTAAAAAAAGGTTATAAACGCTTCTTTTTTATGCCGCCGCACCGCGCATATTATTTTTGGGTTGTCCGTCCATTCGTCCCATTCTCGTGGACACGATATCTCACTCTAATTTGGCACAAACATTCACAAGGACTCAAGGATGAACTGATTAGATTTTGGTGGTCAAAAGGTCAAAGGTCAAGGTTAATGTGACCTCACGAAACACCTTTTAACACCTTTTATGACACGATTTCACACAAAATGTTTAATATTTTATGTGACTCTGGATAAACAGGGATGTAATCTGAAACTAGTCTGAGTGGGCGGAGTTTTATTCTGTCTCTTGAAATTTCTCTAACTTTACGAAAGTCAGGGGAAGGCCGAAATGGCCAAATATATTACAACATTTACAACTCTGAAATATGTGGGGAAAGGCCATTCCAGATAGAAAAATGGTTTTCCACCTCATGATATCAATTTTAATTAAAAAAAAAAAAAGACACCACTTATTTATTTTTTGAGCCTTTTGTTTGTTTTGTTTTTTTATTGCTCACTCAAGTGTTTTTTTTTCTTTTTTCTTTTAGGCCCCAACAAGTGCCCATCAAGGAAATGAGCCCATCTATCCTTCCTCTGTCCACGGTGAAAAGACAACCCTGTTAAGCTGAACTCGTTGGTCTTGGTGATCTTGGTGCCAGAGCTTCCAAGCCGCTACAAACCCGTCCATTGTGGGACTCAGATAGAAAGAGAATCGCCAAACTGAGCTAGCCTAGCGGACGCGCCTGAATAGTGTGATGGGAGGGGGGCAAGGGAAGGGGAGGAGGAGGAGGAGGGATGCGAGGACGCCAGAGGAAGAGCCGCACAGAGGAGGACATTTTAATCACACAGTGTGATTTGAATAGCAATCGGCTAATGGCTAAAGCAGCTTGCAGGTGTAAGAGACCCAGAAAAAGGCGCGTAAAGAGAAGAGATTCAAAAAAAGGAAAAGAAAAAGAGGGGTTTGTAACGAAGGGGAACGAAGTGTTCCAGAGACACTCTGACCCACTTTGATTCAACCATTGGCAGCGGGTGTCTAATTGATCACATAACTAGCAGGCAGAACAACCCGGACACACAGAACACCTTTCAATGAAGACATTTTCTTCATTTTAAGGGCTGCAACAAACACTTATTTTCAATTATCAATTAATCTAAGGGTTATTTCTCAACAAATCAGTCAAATGTTTTGTCAATCAAATGTTAGAAAACTGGGGAAAAGGTCCATTCCAATGTCCCACAGCCAAGATGATGTCTTAATGTCTTTTTTTTGTCCAATCAGAAGGAAATTTAAGAAGCTGCAACCAGCAAATGTTTCGGTATTTTACCTGAAAAGTTACTCACAATATCATCTAGTACATAAATTTTTCTATCGATCGACTGATCAGTTCAACGAATTGTTTGTATTGAAACTATAGTGAAATAAACTGAGATACAACACACAATGCCTTCATAGATCAACAGATATCATCTCATCCCGCTTCGATAAAGACTCACAACATACTAATTAAGCAGAAGAGGACAGAACTATGTCTCATTGCTCTGTTCTTACAAAATCTGCCTTTCAAAACAACAGTATAACTTGGGCATGCATATCCAATAAAACACACATGCACAGTGTTACAAAAGCTAGCCTGCAGGCTGCACATGCTTAAGCCCGACTGTTCTTTTTCTATTCTTTTCTTTCCTAGACCTCAAAATAGGTGACTAACATTTCATATATGTGAAGAGGAAAGGTCATTTAAGTTAATTTAGAAAGGAAAACAAGCATTGCCTTTCCATTGTTTATTCTCCTCCTAGTACGTTTATGAACCAGCTGATAACTACAGTGATGATTCAGCTGCCAGACACATGCTCACAATTTTAAATGGACGATGTAGCCAATTAGGAATTAGTCCAAGAGGGTGTGTACCATAAAAAAAATGTGAGCCCAAACACAGTTCAACTCATGGTAATAATTACAGATGCATTATTGTGCTGGATCAATGAAATTATTTTTGTTACAGTACTCTCCAGGGTTCTCCGATATGTGCAGAGGTTACTGCAGTGCTCCTGCTTCTCTTTCCTCGTCCTGAGACAACGTAAATCTTTTATGCCAGGTGACATGATAACATGGACGCAGCCGAGCCGTTTAAATAATGCACAAACAGGTATCAGAGATTTTACAACAGCAGGAGTCAGAAAGAGTAGCTTCTCTTCACAGGAAGACGAGTACAAAGCTTAAAATCTAAGTAAGACTTTGACTGGCTGTGATCAATTTGAGGTGTATGATTAACCTCATGTGAATGCAACCCCATGATTTCTGTTTAGATACATGCTGTATTTAATGTAACGTAATGTATTTAAGATGGGGGGTTTCAAAAAGCAAGATTACAAGTTAAACCTTCGGTAAATCAGGCTTATTTATTGTAAGTGTTTTCTACGAACGCTCTTAAGTTTCTACATGTGATTCCAAAAGCAGCAAAAGCCTCCAAAGGTCGGCTGTCTGTGGTGGTGAATGTGACACTGAATACGCTGCAATAAAAGTTTGCATACAGCCCAGACTGTGAATATTTGGGAGAGTTACACAAATTTTTTGCTCTTCTGGCTCATTTGAGGCAGATTTCTCGCAATAAGCCCTGGATTTCTGAGCCGCCTGTATGAAACACCCCTCAGGACCAGGGCCCTGCTCTTCAGATGCAGCATAACACTCTGTTATCAGGCTAAAATAATCCTGGTAATTCTCAGTTCTAATGTGGAACTTATGAAGGATGCTTGAGGACCTCTGGTTGAAGTTATTTTGCGCTCGTGCTTTCAATTAAAGCAAAAATGAGTAGAGATTTGAAACCATGATCAGTGCTCATGTTTGGCTGCGTGCTGATCATGTGATTGCACTTACATGAAGCAGCATCCAAGACGGCAACGGATTCACAACCATAAGTCTGATTTCTTTGTGCTACACATTGTTTCCGCACTTAAATAACAGCTGTGAATGTGTGTTACACCATGAGTTAAGTTGGTGCATGACTTGTGGGGTTCTCCCCAATGGACAGGCAAGGAACTTCCAAGAGTGAATCATGAGGAAAACATGAAACACTGATGTCTCTTATAAAAGTTATAAAAACAACAATTTTCAGTAAAGCGAGTTCAGAGGTTTTAGTATTCGAATTACGAATTCCCATTTCATTCCCATGTCAAATTAAATGCCAATGAAGTTTTACTGCATGTTGTCATCTAAAAATCATAATTATATCAACATTTGATTTAATTATATCTCTAAGAGAGCGAGCCATCTGTCTCTAAAAATAAGTTCATGTGACCATGATGCAGCTAAGTATCAATGGCTTTAAGGGATAGTTCGGGTGATTTGACGTGGGGTTGTGTGAGGTAGTCATGCCTGGTAAGTGTATTACCTGCACTAGATTCAGATCAGCGCGCTGCACGTAATGTAATGTGTCACTTTCCTTTGCCACTACATTTTGAGTGCGCTCTGTAGGTGCTCGTGCGTAGGAATACGGTAGTTCGGCGGTTGAAAAATGTAGTGCCAAAGGAAAGCGCTGTTTTCACCGGAAGATAAACCGCTGAAAATATCCCGGATGTTGGATTGTTTCAGTCAACAAGCAGTGCACTGATCTGAATCTACAGCAGGTAACACACCGACTCTGCATGAGCACTTCACACAACGCCACGTCAAATAACCCGAACTGTCCCTTTAAGGACTTGTTGCCCTGAAAACAGTTCCAGATGAATTTTTAAAAGCAGCTTCAAAGAACCAAAAAAAAAAAAAAAAAATCCAGACTCGTCTCCAATTGTCAAACATTATATCCACGTATGAAGAACCGGAGCCCGAACGCACATGGGCAAACAAGACACGCAAGGCTGCTAGTGGGATAACGACAGACGTGCCCCATCTCTTCACAGTGGTGGTGGACATTCCTCACACGGCTGCAAAACCTGAACACAGCCAAGGAGGAGAGAGGGACTCTGAGACCGGCTATTGACGTCTTCAGGAAGCTGTGGGCAGAAAACAACACAGCGAGGAGGAAACGAGCCGGCGGATCGCTCTCTCTGTTGTGGTGTTTTTCTTCTCTGCGGCTGGTTACGATTCATGAGTTATCTCGCCACATGAGAACGGCGAGCTTTCTTAGGCCCACATCCTCAACCTCACTGTCACATGGTGTCCTTTAGAGGACAATGTCATTAAAAAAAAACAAAAAGAAAAAAAACTAAACGTATTTTTAGAAACGCAAATGACAAGGCAGGGAAGTGAGGATGTTGACAAGCATCAATCACACGGTGAGAAAAGACCACATGCAGTCGAGTTCAGATTTACTTACCTGGGCGTAGTCTCTCTCCACAGCTGCCCTCTTTTGGCTAAAACTCCTGAGGAGAAGGAAAAAAGTGAATGTGAATGATAGTAAAGCTTCAAATCTCAACAAAGGATGAGACTGTAAAACAACATATTTCTATGTAGCACGAAACCTAATAAGTGTATTTCACACAATGTTAAGGTAAAGTTCAGATACCTCATACAATATATTTCTTTCACCTTTCTTTGATTTATAGGGATATTTTGGGGGGGGGGGGGGTTTATGCGTTTATTAATGAGGAGACAGATCACAGGGAAAGTGGGAACGATAGAGAACGTGAAGCAACAGAGACTTGAACCAGGGACATTGCAGTTCATGATCAGCGTCTTTAAGCCAGAGATCACCAGGTTGCCTCAGCCAAAGGTTTTTATATTCATCACCATAATTCTGGCTATGATTACAGTACAAATACATTTTTCAAACTGGCAAACTGACTTGTCACACAGAAATGGAAAATGACTTAAATTTCAGAACACGTTCTCAACTACAAAATCCCAATAGAAAAACAAAATACTCCCAGTAAAACCAACACAGAATCGTACATCGTACATGTAACAGAGAGCCACCGTGGTACAGTGGTGTGTTGCTGCCCCGCTAAAACACAGTTTCCCTCGCCAAACACAACACGGCTGCGGTCCTGATGTCAGGTGGTCCGTGCCACCAAACACCCACATCCAACAGGAAATCAGTTGAGCTGTAACTTTAAAAAGTATAACCGTCATAACTCAAGAGGGTGTAAGTATCTTGTCTCTCCATGATAACAATGTCATTATCGTGAGTTTGTTCTCCTTCACATCAACCCCCGTCCCAAAACGAAATCGTCTGTGAGTCAGCGAGGAAAGTCCAGTTGTCTGTCAAAGCCAATTGTTTATAATTTCCGTATAATTTCCGCTTGTTTTCCCTCTTCCTGTGATGCTTAACATGGATGTTTGTAATGACGCAGTCTGACAAAAGTCCTCACTGAGGACTAAACAATTTACTGCGGCTACAGTAGCTGAGGGATTTGCTTTTACTGCCTCTTCTATGATGGATTTCCCTCTGCGTCATCATGAAATGTTGATGCAAAACAGTGATTTTATAAAGAAGCACTTTTCGATTCTCACAAACCGGTAATTTTTTTTTTTTTTTTTTTTTTTTTTAAATAGCTGAAAATGTTTGGCTGGTTTCGTAAATACATATACAACATGTTGAGATATGTGAGGCATGCCAGTAAATATTGTTTTTATACTTGCATTTAACTGTCACAGGGTTGATTTACAATAACAGTAACAAGCTAAATTGCACTGCAAGTTAAATTTACACAAAAGTCTAAGAAAAGAAGAGAGGTCAGTGCCCTGGGAAAAACTTGACGGCAGCCAAATCATCATTAAGTCATTAAACATGTCCAGACTCGACTGTCGTGCTCCACCCGGGCTCTAAACAATCTGTTGTACTTCCTGGGAGCTTCCCTCTCTTCCTTCGCTCCCTTCCTCTTGTCTACATTTCCATGGCCCCCCTCTCTTCCACTGACCCCCGCCCCCCCGCCCCCATCCTCCACGTTCACTTCCTGTCATTTTCCCCAAACAGAGCTTTTGCTGACAACCAGATGCAATTTCCAGTTTGCTGAATCATTTCTCGTCTGAGATCAGGGACTGACCCTTGCGAATTCTCCACCGGGCAAGTTTCACATTGTGTCTGGCAGAGTAATGTTACTGAGCCTCCCACAGCGAGCGATTCGGGGCAGTCAGAACATCTGGCAGCTCTCTATGACCTTAACATCCAGCTGTTTGGAGGTTCAGAGCTCTGCCACCAACCACAGACAGGAAGTGGGGAGCCAGGAGGCTGTCAACTCAACCCAACACTAAGGCTGAAAATGCAACCACAACCTTTGGCTTTTCAACCCGTAACATGCCTACGCATCTGAACACAGTGTTAAAGCTGTCTGTCTGTCTCTTAAAACCAGTGTCTACTCGGCCTGATCCTCCAATTTTAAGACTAATACACTCCCATCTTTGGATTTAAGAGGCTGATAGCTGTTCTTCAAATGTCCAACAATGTTCAGACAATCACCGAACACTATAACTAAACAAACGGAGAAATATTCTTATTTAAAAATCAAAGGGGCGACGGAGAGATAGTGCAGAATGAATCGATTCTACAAGGACGTAAGAAAACAAACTTCATCCGATGGTAGGCGGATAACACCAACTGTCTGGCTTTTAATTGAATGTAAGCATAAACAAGTGTGACCCTTTAATTAACTGTTGTAGGATGTTTCAACATAAAGACCAAAATGACCGTATTGGCCGGAATATAACACGCTTTTTTGTTTGTTTGTTTGTTTGTTTGTTTGGAAAGAGCGGAGGTCATATGACATCCGAGGACAACAACAGCAGATAACAACACCAGCTTCTTCTTCTAGGCTCGATGTTGCTAAGGCTAGCCAGCTTCGTTAAGTCTCGTTATCGCACATCATTAGCGCAACAAGTGTTTTATTAAACCCACTTTAAGCAATGAGAGTTTGTCATGGTTTGTGTTTGACAACAAGGGCTGAATTTTTCCACTAAAAGAAACCTTTCGTACATTTGGAAATAACGCTTATTTTCATGGTGTAGACATTTCACACATTATACAAAAACAGAATCAGGAGTTCACTGAAATAATTTGACGTAGTAGACGCATATCGAAATAATTGTGACTGACGGGAGAATGTGAGTGATGGAAAAGTAACACAAATTTACATTCTGCTTTAATGCGTTATAAGTTGTTTTACTTATTGTTTCACTTTTACAAGAGAAAAAGTACGAGGACTCGCTGTTGGTTTAGAAACTTAGAAACTCCTCCACCGGGATCAGTCAATGTTTTGTTCCCTCAGAAAGTTTTTTTTTTTTTCTTCTTCTTTCCAAACACAGGTGTTGGGAAAGGAGGGTCCGTTTTATATTCTGGCAAACACGGTACTCTTCGCTCCACCTCGTCTACGCGACTACAGATTGACCTCTGACTGCTCACCTCAGGTCTTCCAGGAGGTCACATTCTGTCTGGTGTTTGATGTGTAATCTGCTCATCTGCTCTGCATGAGTGTGTTTGAGCTCCTGGGTGACCCGGACCTGAAGGAGAAGAAGCAGAAAACACGCCGCATTAGAAAGGAACCCGGAGCGTCGCACACCTCTCTCTCCTTCAGCTGACACACAGACACCGAGAGAGGGGATTTCTCACATTTGTAAAAACCACAGAGCCGTTTGACGAAGTGTCCCTCGCAGGTACAACGGCGACTCTCGAGGCCTGTGTTGATTCAGCTGAGCTCATAATTGGTATTAGTGAAAATGAGCTCTACTCATTATCACACAACTCTGACCAGATGAGAGTCAAGTCTCTCTGGGTTTCTAATTGGCCATTAGATAAATTATGAAGTGCAGTGACCAGGTCTCATTACTGACAGCTCGGAGACTTGTCAACAGTCGTTTGTTTTTTTTCTTCCCTATTTCAATCAGGAGTCAGATTGCAGTTAAATACTCGAGTACTTTACTCTAACTAGAGCAAAGATTAAAAAGAAAAACATTAATCATCAACTATTCTATTAGTTGTGGTCTTTTCATAGAGTTTGCTAACAATAAGAAAAATGTAGAACATTTCACATCCTTTTACATCCCCAACCTTCAGCCTGTCAATCACAGATCAAACAGTTACTGCAGCTGGTGGTGGATATCAACCTTGGAGTGCTGCAGATATTTTTAAACCACTGAGCAGTGCTCAGTCACAGTTGGTACTCATTAGTCAGGAAGAAATATGTTTTTATTAAGATTAGAGATTAAACAATTAGTCAATTAATCCCTTAATTGATCGACAGAAAAAAAATAATCAGCGGCAGCTATTTTAATGATCTTTGAAGTAATTTCCAGGCTGCGTTTTTGTCTTACACGATAGTAAACTGAATATTTGTAAAACAATCAATTTCATGAAATGCTCTTTGCTTTTAGGAAATTGTTTTCTGATGTTTTATAGATCAAGCAACTCATTGATTATGAGACAGGACTCATCAGATTGATCAACAATGAAAATAATCATTAGCTGCAGCCCTAATCAAGTTTTGTTAAAATGTTTAGAACACCTTTTAGTCCATATGGCACAAACAGGAATAGATAGAAACAGCTTGTTAGAGTCTGCTTTAAGCCTACTTCAAAACAAATACAATGGGTCATTGCCAGTAGCATATATACACACACACACACACACATATATATCTATATATCTTTATATAGAGAGATGTATATGTATATATATCGACAGAGACCTAGCGACACCTGAAACTGAACTGTTCCCAGTCCAAAATGTAGTACACGTGATAAACAACAACATAAGGGCGAAGCACGATGAACACAAAATTAAAAACAGGTGAATTACATTTGCAAATTAAATACTTGAAGTCACAAGGGCGACTTCACTCACCCTCTCACGGTAAGAGATTATGCAGTAAATATATCTTGAATATTTTAAATATTTTGTGGCTTTGTGACGATTGAACGAGGCTAAACATCTTATCTTCAAGTACTGGTGAAAATGAGCTCTAGTCATTATCAAGCAGCATCTCTGGCCAGGTGAGAGCGAGTCTCTCTGGGTTTCTAATTGGCTGTTAGATAAACTATGAAGCGCAGTGACCAGGTGTCATTACTGATAACTGGGACAGCTGTCAACAGGAAATCACTTTATGATCCTTATTTTCTTCATGATCCAGATCAGAGTTCAATAATCTCAACTAGAATGAAGATGTAGATATTAAAAAATTGTGACTTGAACACTTCACTGGGCTAAAAACTTTAAAATAAATGTCATGTCACAAGCAAACTTAAATCACAACTCACTGAAATCGCAGCTAAAATCTAGGTCTGTTAAAATACCTACAGCTGGAAACACCAATCAATGTCAGCCAAGGCAGAGAGGCAGGGCATCTGCTTTAACTTCATGATATTCACAGGAAACTATCAATGCACTTTTAGGGAAAAAACACAGATTTATAAGTATTTCTTCGGGCATTGTGGAGATCAATAAAAAAAAATGTCCATAAACATATTTAAAACAGCCCATGTATGTTTTTGACATTTAACAAAACATGCATTATTTGTTTGCAATTAACAGCATAGTATTTTCAAAACGTACTGGGGAAGAAATAGTCAATTTTCTGTGCTGCTGAGCCATGTTATTGAAATATGATCCCACATCAACATTTTTTCGCACAGAAACCAGACTTTGCTGAAATTTGTGTTTTTGCGTTTATTTCTCCAACTAAAACACTCAAAAACAAATCGTGTACTCCTGGACTGAGTCTGTTATTTTAAGCTATAAATACTCTTTGACGACAACGATTGTTTTTCTTCTTTTCCACCAGACTTCCCTTGCACACCAAACTACATAGAAAAATCTGTCATTTTGCTGTTCCGCAGCGTCAAAACACACTTTAAAGACAGATCATGGCTTCATTTTATATCTTTTTATTGAATATAAATCCACTATCAAAATCGGCATAGACAAAAAAAACGTAACTTTTATTTACTTTAAGTAAAATCGTAACTTTTTTGCCCGCTATTGCAGCAATCCTTCTCCTCTCAACTTGGAAGTCAGACCGCCGATGGCACTGGGACCGCTGTGAAGCAAAGTGGTATTTACTTGAACTTAAGAGTTGCTCTGTGGATCATTTGTGCGCCGATGTAACACAACACCTCGGTGAAGTTGTTTCTTACAATATGTTAAATTTTTTTCCAAGCGGTGCGAGCTTCACCGACACACAGATAGCGGGTTATAGTGTCAGATTTTCTGGCCGTGTTTGGCAGGACATTCGAGAGGGAACGAGGGGCACGTTAACGGAGCTATTCCCCCTAAAAATTGTGGCACATGGGACTTTTTTTTTTTTTTTTTTTTAACAAGTTTTCTCCCTTTGCTGCTATTTAAAGAAACAGCAGAGGCGAATTAAACTTGTAAGGCAACACGGTAAGCACACATTCGCAGAATAAAAAAAGGTAAGTTCATCGTTTAAACCAGCCGACCAGCAACAAAGCGTACACTTTCAACCATTAAATATGCACCAGTTCGTCGAGAGCGTTTCCAGACAAGTAACGTTAGCTTTGGAGGCTACGACGGGGAAAAACTCACCTTTCTCGGTGGGGGTTGCATCCTTATTTCTTGACATAAAAACTATACAAAAGATGAAAGTTTATCTGGAAAAGTTTGTGCAAATGTCTCGGGAAAAATGATAACACAAGGAGGATATTTCAGCCCGGGTCAAGCGGCCATGGCGAGTCCAGTAAGTAGTAAGTTGAGTCCCGTTGAAAACACTGTGGCCCCAGGGAACAGAAAACATTAGCGTCAAGCACGCCACAATAGAACAACGCACTTCCTGTCACATTCTCAAAATAAAAGCCTCGAGCCGTCTGAATAAAGTGCTACTTCCGTACATAATATCCAAAATAAAAGTATTCGCAAAGATTTTATAACCATTATCATAATTATATTATAGTTACATATATATACATACATATGTATATAATTTATTATGAAATTGTGAGATTTATGATGAATGGTGGCACTTTTGCAACGATTTACCTCTGTCATTTTCTAATCCTTGTCCAATCTTTTGATAGAATGATGTTTTAAAGTAGAAACAAATGTGTTCTTTACCTAATTATCTAGATGACGGTGTGTGTGCTGACTCAGGGTTTTTTATTCACCAACTACACTTATTTCTGTGGCTCCATGATTGGATAATTTAGCCAGCATCAATGTGTATATATGAAATTTTATTCAAGTTGTCCTTTCCTCTGACACACCTGCTGCATATTCACAATTTTTTTTTCTGCAAGATTTTAATTGCCATTTATCCTCCAAAAAGAATTGGGGAAAAAGATTTTGGTAAGAGAGACTCACAAGCCATTCTTACAAATACAAATCATATTGATCCAGCTTAATGTCTCACATTATGCTTTTTACTCTCCCTTTATTACAGCAACCTTAAGCTTCAATATCTTCCTGTGTAAACCTGTATAATAATGTACCATGTTAGTTGTGTTCATAGTATACCACTGTTACAGACTAGAATGACCTTTTATTGACTGAGTGAAGATCTGCTCACCAAATCATCTTTGACAGGGAGCCCTCTAGTGGTCATGTCCTGTTTACAAACTTAGATCAATTTAAATATGTTTTTATGTGATGATCTTTTGTATATTGTCAGTCATACTTATCAAACCCTAACCCAAGCCAAAAACTACCATTTGATGAAGGTTTTTATCTGTAGGAGAGAGGAAAACACTAGGAGTCAGATGCATAGTCCTATTTTCTGCCATATTCTCATTTATTGACTAATATTTTCTGTTGGTAAATACTGTTAAAAATTGCATTTCCCTGACATGGTTTCTCTTTACCACAAAGACTTGAGCTTGTTATAGACAGCTTTTATTGCCATTTTAACTGTATTGAATTGGAGGCTGGATGGTGTAGTGTGGTAGACATGAGTAAAATCACTGCACTTTCAACTGTATATTCTGTGTTCAATTTTGATGCTAAAAAACAAATTTAACTTAAGATCCACTCACTAGCTTTTATCCCCTGAGCTTTAAACAACTTCTAAAAGTCTTCCTCAGCAGCTGGAGTTTGCTGAGACTGAGTAATCTCCATCATGACCAGATGTTGTCATCACATAACAGTGAAAATACCCAGCAGGACAATCTGCACCTAATACAATGTAATCATTTACACTGATTTGTATTCTTATTTTACACTTACGGGCAGTTGTTAGTTTTATTTAATTCATAAATATTGCAAACACAAACAGGAGCTATGTCGCAGACTTGATCCCCATCTCCTAATCTTCAACTAAAATCACTAAGGAGCTGCTGATTTCCCCATGTTGCTCTTTAAACAATAAGTAAAACCTTTTTCAAGTTCCGTCTTATATTTCTACCCACATTTCATTGTACATGTTCCTCTAATTATGCCCAGCTTCCTCCCACCCTGCCTGTTATTGTGTTGGCATCCTGGACTTGTTCACTCAATCTCAAAAACAGATCAGAGATTAACAAGGTTCGACCACAGGTATATATAATGTCTGTTGATTTTTAAACTGGATGTAGTTAAATAATGTTAATCGTGTAAAAGCATATTTCTACAAAAATTTTTTTTTTATACTGTCAATGTTAAGGCTGGTTTATCCAAGTGTGGCCAAATTTATCCATCAACCATAAATCCTTTATTTCTTATATAACTCACAGTCTTTCCACATACCCCCTGACAGCTGTAGAAGCCCCCCCCCCAGGATACAAGTACCCCTGGTTGGGACTTTGTAGGCTACATGACTTTGTAATCACCAATTTTAATCACAATAATATCTTTTTCTCTGTAATCATATCTAAAATAACAATCTAATCCTAATTTCTAATCCTCAAGAGGAAAATATCATTTGTAGATATGAGTTAGGTGTATAATAACAGGTTTCCCCTCACATCCCTTACACATATTTTATGTATGCACTAAGGTCTAACCAAAACACAACGTAGACACAGTCCTACATGCAAAACATCCAAATACCAACTTGTAGAACCTGTTTAGAAGCCAGGAACAGAAAGATTATTTCACAACCCAACAAAACATCTTTATTTTTTTCATTTAACCTTTCAGTTTTGTACTACAGCAGAAAAATCTTCAAGGTGATTTTGCAGCTATAAAGCATTGTGGTGTTTTATCCTCTCACTGCCTTTAAGTGGATGCATTTCTGCAAGAGGAAATGTGCAGCTGTGGTAGAGGATGCCACATTTGAATGCAATGCCACAGTTCAGAAAGGCAAATCAAGAGTTAGAAGGAAAATGATGTTGGCGTCAGTGCTGTTAGAAAACAATCAAATATTCTCATCTGGAACTGGTGAATCAAATTCCTATTGTTGATTAATTTTCTGCTGATCAACTAATCAATTAACTATTTCAACTCTAATTAGTAGTGAATGTGATAGTACACATGGTTGACTAAACAAGACCAAAATATATTTGGTACAGGGTTCATGTTGATGTTATTAGGCTATTACTCATGAAACACAGTTGAAATTGTACTTAAAGTACAATGTAGTAACTCATACTGACATAAATGTAAGAGGTGTCCCTCCTCTCTGACTGGTCCTGTGTGGTCACATGACAAGCCTCTGTTTTTAATAAGACTCAAGTTTACAGAAATATGACTAAGGCTCCCTGGGCAGTTTTCAAAATAAAATACATTTTCACAACGACACCATATTTTCTTGTGAGCGGATCAACAGTTTGTCATTTCTTGTTCAGGTTCAACTTATTCCAGTCACCCCTATTTCGTCCAATGTATTATACAAAGTGCTGCATACTGTATGACTACAAAATGCTTTGAACAACAGTAACTTCAATCTGCAAAAGAATACAGTAGAATTAAATTTTTGCAATGCTTTCCAAGTCACTCACTCACTCACTCACTCACGCACACACACACACACACACACACACACACACACACACACACATATATATATTGTAGGCAGTGCTGATCGGACAAAAAAGACATTTGAAGATGAGAAAGGACAATGGACATTTTCCCCCGGTTTTTGACATTATAAACTAAATAAAGGATTCATCAAGAAAATAATCAGATCAATTTACGATGACAAACATGTAAGACGCATCCCTAAACATGTATATAGCAGACAAAGTCTTCTGTGTTTAAAATACTAACTCAAACTTTTCATGTGGAGCCGAATTAAAACTTTTATTTTGAAGGACGGCACCGTGCATCCGGTCTCGCTACGTCTTTCTGTTTGGGTTAACTCAGCTTTCCATTTGACCGTCAGTTTACCGATTTGACCTGCGTTTAATTTAAAAAAGAAACTGAGACATGCAAGTTTGTTCACACTGTTGTTGTTTTCGATCTACACGGCGGCTCGGAACTGTTCGCTTAGCCGACTAGCTAGCTAGTTAGCCCGCAGCAATGTCAACGTGGCGGAGGCTGCACGTGAAGGTGCGGACGGCTCACGGACTACTTGCCTCCTCCAGACGCGTGACAGACCGGCACACACGGCTGCTCGGAAATGTAACGTTGTATCAGAGCCTGAGTACGGGCAGACCTCTCCGCAACGACTTCTTCAAAGGTGGGGGAACATCAAGGGGAAAGTGCTTGTTTACTCTGACATACGGAGAAGACGTCAATATGACTTAACGTTACCTTCAGAAACCCCCCAAATTATGTAATGTTGTGTTTACCACAAATATAGTCAACTTGTATGTCACAACTGAAACTCTAATGAAATATTAGAAACCTATCTACAATTCGGCTTGTATGTAATCTTCCAAGATTATTTTTAATGTCAATTTTCACAGCTGATCCCGCTGCACCTTACACGCCAGTACGTCATTTGGCGGACGATTTAAATTTAACATTAGAAGTTTTATCAAAATGTTTTTCTAATATGTGAATTGCTATATATGCCGAATTAGAGAGTGGTAGCTAAAGATGCAGAAAATATGTTGCGTTGTAAAGTGTGAGTTAAAATATCCAACATAATGATGAAGGGAGAATAAAATTTCTGCTTTTCTGCCTCAGATCTGGAGGCCGAGCTGGCAGCCATGAGGAAGAGGGCGGCGGACGCGCTGCCCGGGAGCAGCTGGACCCCCTTCGAGCTCAACCCGCACCTTCCTCCGGAGAGGGCCGACATTGTGATCGTTGGCGGCGGCGTGGTGGGCTGGTCCATCGCCTACTGGCTGAAGCAGAAGGAGAGGGTGCGAGGAGCGCTGAAAGTTGTCGTGGTGGAGAAGGACCCAACGGTGAGGGGACCCAGTATTGTAAATTCTAGCTGTGTCATTTTTATTTCCATCCATAATTTACAGCCCATTTCCATAATTGAATCAGCTTGAAGGAGGGCAAACAGGAATAATGAATTAAAACCACCCTATCATTAATCCTTGTTGTCAACAAAGACGTACATCCAACTTTGTGAAAGAGAGAGAAATGAAGAGGGAAAAAACAGTAATATACAGTTGCTGAAGTAATGATGCAGCAGGATGACAGAACAGAGTATCTCCATAAATATGTGCAGGCATATGAGATTGCTGAGCTACAGTTTTATGATTTTGAAATGACATTTCATATAATCTAATTTTGTCATTTGTCATTTTGAGTCAAATGTTGAATATAAGTCTTAAAGGGCAGTCTGCTGTCATACAAAGAAAAAAAGTTCTATCTATTAAAGGTGGAATAGCAGATTTGGTGTTAATGAGGGTCCTGTGGGCCGAAATACGGGCTGAACAGCTTTTAAGGCATCCTTGGTGTTGACATTAGCTCAGCGATAAGCAGCATAATATACACCAGGCTTCTGCTCCTACACATTTCCTTATTAACTGCCTCCTCCTACATGGAGCGCCATAGGAAATCATTCCTGCCTACAGCAATCAGACTATATAATGCATCTCTATGACTCATCCAAACACCCTTGCACTCTCACACCTGCACAGTCCATATGAATATATTTATTTATGTACCTCTCATTTTTAATGCATTCTTGAATCCTGTGTATTTTTTGTCTGTGTCTTTGTATTTCATTCTATCTATTTATTTATTTATTTATTTATTTATTCTCTCCAGTACTCCCAGGCCTCCACCGTGCTCTCTGCTGGGGGGATCCGACAGCAGTTCTCCCTGCCTGAGAACATCCAACTCTCCCTGGCCTCCGCAGACTTCATGAGGAACATCAATGTAGGTCACACACTGAAGTCACTTGTGTTGTTGGAGCCTCTCTCAGCTCACTGCACACTGGCAATGAATGACAATGCCTCAAATCATTAAATCTGACAGCGACACACGGTGCTCACAGTGTATGTTACGTTAATATGTGAGCATGAGCACCTTGTGTGCCCGCTGTTTGACCAACACCAGTTACTGATATTGTTTTTTTGTCTAACGTTACACAACAATTACACCATACTATCAATATATATATATTAGAATATGTAGAATGACAAGTATACTGTAAATGTAGAACATCAAAACCAAGTTATTTCATATATAGAAATAGATATTGTGTCCTGTAGTTGAAAGAGTGCTCTCTGTGGTTTGCAAAGAAGAGAACTGCAAAACTAAATATTTGCAGTAAAAGCTGAATTTTTAAATAAAATTAAAATAAACTTATAAAATATTTAGTTAAGCTAAATAAGTTAGTTCTGACTTTATAATGCAATCCAACATAACAACACCACAAACTTTATCCGGATCTTAATTTTTACAGTCTTTTCTTTTGAAAAATACCCACTTAAACCACTTCTGATAAATCTCACCTTTGTATCACCTGTCAAATTAGTGTCGCTTCTCACCAACTGTGAAGTATCAGTGGGTGTTTTCAGCCCTGCAGCCTCAGGGGGGCAGTAATGAGCCCATTACGGTTTTCGCTTCACTTCTTGGAGCTTTTCCACTGAACCCTCTGGGACTGTCTCCCACGCAACATCTGTCTGTACAACAGGTACAAAATCTGCCTACCAGCACCTCTGAATCTCCCCAATTAAAATAATACATCTCATTTGTTTAAAAATGATTCTACAGTGGGGAGCAGTAACTTCTCGGCTAAGCCATAGTTAGGCCAAGAAATATGCAAGTTAGTTCAGTTAAGCTAGCTGGACTATTGGCTGTAGCCTTATATTTAACAGACTCCTATGAGAAATGTCGAACTTTTCCTTTAATGACCCTGTTGTCTTTGCTCTATCACCACCCTGAGGACAGATTTAGTTTTAATAGTCCCAGCACTGCTACAGCTCTCAGGAGCACACACTGTACATGTGTTTGCTGGAGGCAATATGATGCAAGCCCTTTACATGATTTTTAAATCTTACCAGTCACACTCCTGTCTCCTCGCAGGAACACCTCGACGTGTTGAACGAAGACCCCGTGGACCTGCAGTTCAACCAATCAGGATACCTCTTCCTGGCCAGTGAGAATGTGGCTCACATCATGGAGGAGAACTACAGCACCCAGAGGTGCCGACTCCTTTACATTCAGTAGAACTGTGTGATATCAAAACGATTGTAATCAATTCCACCTGGGTGAAGTGCTCACAGAGAACATTTCCATTCAGAAATTCAAGTAGCAGGCTTTCACTGGCAGAGCTGAGGCTTCAGGGAGGCAGTTTAGTGTCAATCATTTATCTAATTGTGATTCCAGGTATGCTGGAGCCAAAGTTTCACTTCTCTCTCCCACACAACTGAAGGACAAATTTCCATGGATAAACACAGATGGTGTGGTGCTTGCTTCCTACGGTGAGTGCAAATAAAAGATGACCAGCTATTTAGTTACATGTTGTAGGTGTGAGAGTACGAGGTGTATGGGATTTCATATAATATTGCAGAGCTGGCTGCAAGTGTTTGTTAAATCTGTGCCTTACGAACCATAGGAAGTCAAATCTTACATTCAGCATTAATCTGAAATGGATGCCACATTGTAGTTGCTTATTTAGAGAACAAGTTTTTGATCACTTCAAGGTCTTCTTCATATTATTATGACCCCAGTAAGTCTGATGTGTGGGCAGCACTGACTTTCATCTCCACTTTGTCCTGCCCTCCAGGGCTGGAGAACGAGGGCTGGTTTGACCCCTGGACTCTGCTGAACGCCTTCAGAAGAAAGGCCATCTCAATGGGAGTCATCCAGTGCTGTGGAGAAGTTACAGGTTTGTTACGGCCTCCAGACACAAAAACCTCCAGATGTACATGACCATGGATGAAGTTTAATTCTGCTTGTTTTTAACATGGGTCTTTAGAATATTAGTAGCACTTAACATGTCAAAATAGCAACAATCTAATATGTTTGTCTTTATAGAAACAGGGTAGACAAGGTGCACTAGAGAAATCATAAGGAGAATTTATTACCACATTGACAAGGGCAGACAGTGAAGATGCATAGGTGCAAAGTAATCAATGCTAGCTTTGTTCTTGTTGTTTACACTCCTGGGTCTGTATTTAAACAAGCAAGCAAACACTGGCATTGATTTCAGCTGGAATAACTGTTTGAAAAGATTCCTCTGACGTACTGTGTCTCCTAGTTTGATTAATTCAGGCCGCGATACGTGCAAAAAATAAATAAATAAATAGATAAAGAAAGAAAAGAAAAAAAGTGTGTTACAACCTGTCAGAAGGTTTGATTAATGTGCAAATAATGGGCTTAAACTACCAGACTCTGACTGACACATTACTGTTTCAGCTAGTGCACTATTCATCATGACCAATGATAGGTTGACGTGATGTGTCTCAGAAGGCGTGTGCCATCTGGGATATTTTAACCAACTCAAGAACATTTTTAAGTTATAAGAAATGTGACAAATGGGAGTAAAAGTGAAGAATTTTTACTTCCATTAACTTGAGTTCAGAATTTTAGCAGTTTGATAAATTCAGGCCCGGGACTTTATACGAGTACAGATCCTAAGGCAGTGGCATCATTTTAAAAGTGAATATTTTATGTTCTGGTATCTGGTCAAATGTAATTTAATTGACATGCAGTAACTTGTCTGACAGTTTTACATAGAGGATTGATAGAAATGTATAAAATCTGACATCTACACCACTGGATGCACATTGAGTCTTTTTTACCATGTGGTCTTCCTTTAGGACTTTGTGAATGCAGAATGAGGTTATTGATGTGTTTTCAACAGCTGCTGGCTGATGATGATGTTTCTCTTCCGCAGATTTTCAATACACAGTAAACGTGATGACAAATGCTGCTGGTGACAACGTGGAGTTCAGGAGAATAAAATCTGTCAAAGTAAGTGCAGCTATGAGTGTAAGTCTACATCTTTGACAACAGTATAAACAAGTGTTACCAAAAACCCTTTTTCATGTTTAGTTAACGTTCTGTTTGATCGCCAACGTGTCAGGACAGTTTTCGTCTTTATACTCACTCAGATTAATAAATAACAGGGTTGGTGAAGCAACACATTTACTTTTCTAAACTCAGTTTTTTCAAAAAGCAGAATTAAAATTTTTTCAGTTGTTTATTTATGTGTTTATCAGCACTCACTCGAAGAAAATACAAGATTAAAATATAAAAATAGTTTATAAACATGCAGGGCAATAACAAGAAAACTAAAAATATCATACAGGACATAATTATACTACATTATTATGAATAAGGAAAAAACTTGGTCTACTACTAAGTGGTTATTTTTTATCATCAGTGAATCTTTTTTTCAAATTAATTAATTAATAGATTATCTTATAACAAACCAATCAGAAGTTGCAGGAGCCCACGGTGACGTCTTCAAATAATTGTTTTGTTTGACCAACGGAGCAAAACTAAAAGATAAAGATATACTGAAAGATATTTAGTTTACAATGATATATTTGTCACTTCGGCTTGATAAATGACTTTATCAACTGATTGATTTAACATCTCTCTATCGATTAATTAAAATTGTCTGATATACTTAGTCCTCTTTTATATTCTTCCCATTTGGCCATCCTTATATCTCTAATTTGGTGTAAAAAAAAAAATGTATATATATATATATAAAAATTTAAAAAAATTCCAGAAAGCATTAGAAGCGTTCTGAATTTGCATATTCGTATACTAAACTGCTACTGGTACTATGACATGAAAGTTTTTCATTTTTCAACTTGTAAAATGTAACATCTCTTTGAAGTCTCTTGGTTGGGTTGATATGGCTAATCCTCCTTCAAAGAGCCACAGGAGCCGCATAGTGTTGTAACTGATGGGATATTGGCTGGTGTCGAGCAGGTGCAGATGCCTCACAGCCTGGAGTACCAGCCAATGGAATGTGCCATTGTGGTGAATGCAGCGGGAGCCTTTTCTGGTAAAGTGGCAGAGATGCTGGGAATTGGCTTCGGCCCCAAAGACACCATCGCTGGAATTCCTGTGCCCGTTGAGCCTCGGAAAAGGTGGGGCATTGACTTAATGGGCATATTTTTCCTTTAAATAACAACCCGAGTGCTGTGAAAATGTGTAGTTTTCTTTGGAAGGGGCTGCCTGGGCCTCATGCGGTGCAGTTCATTAGTATTCTGACAGTTTTATCTGGACTCCACACTACAGTAAATTGGAAAACTGTCTAACTTCATAGTGCCGGCTGTCGGCTTTAATTTGAGTGTGTTTGCTTCCACATCCAGTGAACTGTGTGAGAATCGTGGCCCCTTTTTTAAACACACCACTAAAGGTAAAAATGTGATTTGAAAACGCTTAAACACACCATTAAGTTAGCACTTTAACCTCAGAGTCACTGCTGGAGAAAAGCCAAAGCAACCAAACACCTCATTTTCCCAAAACATCCAGGTAGAATTTAGTCATTCTCTCCATACACAGTATTTACAGGTTTTTCTGCATGGTTCTCCAAGTTAAATTTAAGACTCTTCAAGGCCGTTTTAAATACCTCAGAATGTAAAAAAATAAGGCTGAGCTTGAGCATGAACTGAGATGAGCCGTCACAATTTGCTCTGAAAATGAACCAATAATTCAAAAGCGTCACAGTTGTCCAGACGAGTGAATAATAACAGTTTTCTGATCCACGCTTCAGTTTTGTTAGAGACAGAGAAGAGCGTTCATTTTTACCCCCTCAGTCTTACATTGAGAACATTAATATCGTATTACGCCCCAGTGAGCCAGTTCCAACTGAGAGGCACATGCTGGAAATTCAATGTCACGTTTAATTGGAAGGATATTGTGAGGAGAAAACCCAGCTTTGTTTGCATAACATAACTCAATGGAAACACAGACAATTAGCAATTGTGCTTTGTCAACTTTTTTAAAAGAAAAGAGAAAAAAAAACACCTCTATTTTGCGCAAAACTGCAATGGAAACCCGGGAGATACATTTCCTCCGGTGGTTGCAGCAAGGACTACAAGTTACAACCCATCATAGCTTCCAATACAAGACTACAGAAGCCATAGTCAGCAGGGCAGCCAGGACAATGATCGCTGCCCAGCTGAATCATATGAGCTGATATCTGTGGTGAAGGAAATTAAGGGTGTTTTTTGGTTTTGTTGATCTTCTGGCACAAGACAATTAAGTTGGCCTGTTTTGTGAAGACTGAACGCAACTTTTTGAAAAAAGCTCCTGACCTTCCAAGACATCTCAATTAATAGCTTATATATAAATACATGGAGAGGGGTCCAAAAGACTGATACCACTTTCCCACACTGTATATCTGGTAAATTTAATACAAATTTATCCTGTCATTTGTCCTGTATCTGTTCCTTGTATTTTGCTCAAACCCAGCTTCAGCTTCTCTGTAAAACCTTCATTAAATCCTTCCTCACGCTGCCCCAAGGAGCTCTCTGGATGATCCAAGTGCTGTTGTATAAGACAAGAGTAAAACCTCAGGGAAATCACTAAAACTGTTTTCATGCCAAAAACTCCAACACTTAAATTAAATTAACCCAGTGGTAGCATGAAATACTTTATCAGCAGCTTCAAGGGCAGGAAAGTACAGTTTAACAGGATTATACTGTACGCAATATCACTTAATGTTGAAGCCTGTACAACTCTTTTTCAGGTATGTGTATGTAGTCCACTGTCCTGATGGTCCAGGTCTAGACACTCCATTCCTGATTGATTACTCTGGGGTTTACTTCAGAAGAGAGGGCTTAGGAGGGAACTACATCGCTGGGGCATCACCTGAAGAGGTTTGTTGTATCTCTAAGTTATTTCCCCTCCCACCTGAGCATAAACAGTTTGATGGATGACCCAATTGTTTTTTCGATTTGTCTCTCCGCAGGCGGAGGAGCCAGATATCAGTAATCTGGAGGTGGACCACCAGTTTTTTGAGGAAAAGATTTGGCCCAGTTTGGCCTATCGTGTTCCTGCTTTCGAGAGACTGAAGGTGAGGGTTGGGACACTTTGCTTTACAACTGCAGCACACAGTTCATTAACAAGTGAAACCAGATACAATTTAACTGTTTTATGGGTCCATTACTGGAGCATTTGAAGCCATCAAACAATGCAACATGAAGTTGACACTGGTCCCTGTTCTCTTTTTTCCTCTCCTCAGGTGACCAGTGCATGGGCAGGTTTCTACGACTACAACACCTTCGACCAGAACGGCATCATCGGTATGCACCCTCTGGTCAATAACATGTACTTTGCCACCGGCTTCAGCGGCCACGGCCTGCAACACTCCCCCGCGGTGGGTCGTGCTGTGGCAGAACTGATCTTGGATGGAAACTTTAAAACGTTGGACTTGAGCGAACTCAGCTTCAAACGGATTCTGGCGCAGGAGCCCATGCTGGAAAGGAACATCGTGTAGATGATCCAAACTTGGTCTTATTTTCATAGCTGTGAACATTATTCCTGTCAGTAATAATAACATTGTACTCAACATTGCAATTGCTGAGATCTGGGAATGATCGAGACTGTTTTCCTAAGGAAAGCGACAGCATCGGTGTCAAGACTTCTCAAAGCCAAAGCAATTATGATTCTTCATAGTGTGACATCGGTGTACACCCTTTGGTCCACAGAGGGATGATGGGTCAACAAAATGTCAGACTTCAACACTAGAGATCGCTGTTCGTGCCCCGTTTCGTTCCTCTGAGTTAGACATGTCGTCATCCTCCGGCAGCCAACACTAGCTGGAATCCTGTATGAGAGGAGCAGTCGACCAGACTTGAGTTCATGTATTGATTGACAGCCGTGAGCTCCCACTGCTGATGTTGGCCTTCTCTGATTGGTTCGAAGTAGTCATCCAGTTGTCAAAGTAGTCTCAAAGTAGTTTCAACCCAACCACAATCATTTTCCAAAGTCAGAAAACAGTTTCATTTTTGCAGCAGTGATACGTGTCGCTCTGATGGGCAGTTACAGTTAATTTTGTTGTTTCATGTCACCTTTTTCAGCTTTTACATACTGACCATTGTAGTTATCAGCAATTCCCATTCTGTGAACTCAAGTTGATTTCTAATGATATTTATGTACCATTTTATTTTCTTATAAAATGCCCTTTGCACTTGTCTTGACTTGAAAGTCTTTTCAGTGGAGGTCATGGAAAAGTGTTTCGGAGAGGTAGATAGTTGCTGACGATTCAGTTCCATCCATGTAGTCTCACTTAGTTTTAGACATTGTTCATGATACACTGGTCCAGGGCTGAGTGACTGTTGGAGGAATCCATTGATGTATTGAGAGGTAGCTACATTTACCTTTAACAGATGAGATGAAAGACGGGACTTGGTTTGGTTTCCTGTGTAGAGTACTACTGACTTCAGTGAGTACAGCAGTTTCATAACCGATAGAAATTATTACAAAAATTTCAAAAACAAGACTCAAGTTGTAGTAAAGAGGGCTTGTCCTTAATTTTTTCTTTTGTTATCAGTATATTTAATAGCCTGTACATCTCTCAGGACAAAGGTTTTGGTGACGTTTGGCTTTTCAAGGATGATATGATGACGATAATGTTTATATAATCGATCAGCATGTCACATTGGAGACCTGGAAGCCTTTTCTGAAGTTCTTCAGTTGTTCTATGAGGTTAGTATTAACGTGGAGGAAGATGTTTTCTGAAGAAGTCGGTTAAAAGAAAATACTGTAAAGGAGGAGCTGCATCTTCATTTAAAGAACTGTTTGCTGACAAGAAAAAGCCGTTACATGTGTGGGTGATGGGGAGGGGGGTGAGCCAACCCCTGATACAGTATAAACTAATTACCAAAATCCTGAGTTCTGCTTTGCAGATTTCCACTGAAGCTTGGTGTGTGGTGCAATACATTTGAAAACATCAGAGACAACTTTGTTTTCAGATGCAGTTTATGCATGTACGATGCATAATGTATACTCTATTACAGTATAATGCAATCCAGTACAATAGCTTTACAATGCAATGTTCAGTTTTTGATAAACCTCACTAATGTATTGACTTAAATTACACTTTAATGTATTTGTTAGTTTCTGGTACTTTTTAAATTGGGGGGGTTATTATTGCATCACACTTTTTATGATTTACTCGTGAATCAATAATTGCTGAGTATTCATATACATGAATATGATCACATTTTATTAATAATAAACATTTTTATAGAAAAACTGGCTTCAGTTGTGTCATCTATGTCTTCTATAGGTGTTACTACTCACACAGATGAGAGATCAGATCCAGTTTATTGTAAATGCATCGTACAACAAATACAATGAAAACGTAGCTGCCTGGCGGTGGAAGTAAAAGGTCTCCGTAAATTTAAATTTTTTGTAAGAAACTCGATACTTCATTTTGAAATTTAAAGAGTTCTGAACACTGCTACAAAAACTACTTTCCCCATTTAGAGCACTGAAATATCTTACTCTATCTGGATTCATGCGGTTTCCTCTGACAGTAGGAGTGCTGTTTCGTTTTCTGAAGAAGACTCAAACGAGAAAATGACCCAGTTTTCCTCAATATGATTTACAGTCAGGAAACCAAAACATAAGGCAAGTATTTGATCTTCACGTGTGGGTGGTTCTTCTGGTAACACTGGAACCCATGTAAAAATAAGAGTTTGTCATATTTTACTTGTTTGATTCGTTGTAGAAAAAAACATTTAATAAAATCAGTCAACAACAGATATTTTCAGGGGGGAAGTATATAAATTCATTTCGATGGTTTTTAAAGTACTGCATATGAGGCATTGTACGATATTACAGGTATTTCAAAGAGTTAAGGTGTCGTATAGAAACCGAGCACCAGATGGTGCCATTTCTGTGGTGATTTTTATGTCAAGTAGCCGGCGTGGAGCATCACAACACTCCACACACTGAAGGCAAATTGTCTTTGCAAAATGTGATTTGGGAGTCAAAGAGTGATTATGTTAAGTCGGTAACGGTCTCTAAGAACAGAACAGATCAGGTCCTGTATCTTTAGTATTTTAGTAATTCAAAGAACAAGCCAGTAATGGATTTGTTCATTCTAAATCTATTTTAAAAAATTAGCCTTTCACATTGGAATATGAAAATGTCCCAATGGAATGAAAATGCCATATGTGGCTGTTATAACTGAAATACTCTAATCCAAAGAGGTAAAATAAGATGTTCCTGTAGAACATGAGTAATAAAAGCACCTAATTCAAGACTGATACCCTTACAATATTAATGTCTTTTAACGTCCTGGATGTACGCTGGATTAGTGAGGTGCATGCATATTAAACTGTGATGTCAGTTGGTCTGAGCCATGAGGTTACAATGTTTATCCAATATTAGTGTTGACAAGCTTGGCTGATGAAGCTGTCAAATTTAATACTGTAACTCCACACATATTTATTTGGATCATGTTTAGCATACCAACATTTTTTCTGCTCTCCGGATCAACTTAAATCCCAAATGTGTTCATTAAAGCCGTGTCTTTGTTTTTTTCACAGAGTCATGACTTTCTGTAAAGCCCTAAATTATGACAAATAATAAGCAGAAATGTATTAGATCAATCTCCAAAAGGGGAAAACACTGAATATTAGAATACACTTCCAGGGATGAGTTTTCAGGATACTTCAGTCTGTTTTTCTCAAATTATTTCAGTGGTGGAAGAAGTTTTCAGATCCTTCACTCAAGTAAAAGTAAAAACACAACGATGTAGAAGTACTCCATTACAAATAAAGTCCTGCATTCAAAATCCGAAGTAAAGGTACAGAAATATTATCAGTAAAAAAATTAACCATGTGTATGTTGCACTAATTATTTGACATTTTGGGAAATTTGCTTTCTTCCAGAGAGTTAGATGTACATAAATGCCAGTTTTCATCATGTTTTCTACATTGTTTTCCACCATTTGATGTTTGACTGGTGCTGTTCTAATTACATAACAGTAGTGTATGAAAATCTGCATAAATTCACACTTTATTTTTTCAATCTTTTTTGGAAATTTGATTAAAAAAAAAAGTGCTAAATTTGGTTGAAAACCTATCTATAGACATCTGAAATGTGACAAGGTGCCTCAACTGCACACGGCACACAGAGGAAAAAAAGGTAAAGTAACTGCTGCCGACAGATAAATGTAGTGGAGTTAGTATTTACCCTGAGATGTAATGGAGTAGAACTATTAAGTAACATTAAATAGAAATACTCAAGTAAAGTTAAGGTGGCTTATTTGGGATTTTACAAACAATTAAAAATCGTTTTGTGTAGGTATGCTTTAACATAAACTGGGTGTGGGTTGTGGTTTTCTCTTGCAAATAAACATTCATTTCTGAACCCTCCTGCCCATATCACACATAGTGAGACCAGACTCCTCCACTTCCCCCACATCTTAATTTCCTGCAGCAATATGCAACGCATTAGCAAAACCCAAAAATGTAAGAGTGAAACCCGAAGAACATAGTCATCAGCAAAACCACAACAGATTTACTAGAGGAACGGTGTCTTTATTTTTGAAGAAAGTGTGAAAGTACCACTGCAAAAAATCCCCTCACACTTACCCCTCATAGGCACTGAAGTGGATTATGTTTGCATTACAGAGACATAAAAAAAAGTTATGTCTGCCCACACTAAGCAGCACTTCTGAAGCTAAGGTAAACTCTCCTCCTCTTACAGCTCTGACCACAACCACAAAATTAAACTATCTGGGCTTTAAAAACTGAAATGAGCATTACATGAATCCGACAAATCATCTCCTGAAATGTTAAATTAAAAACATCAGAGTTCAGATTACAGGTTCTTTAGATTTTTAGTGTTGCAGATAATACTGAAAATTAAAAAGCTACTCCTCTTTGATGAATGTCACGTTGGATAAACATTTTATCAGCTGTGCGGTAGGCAAAGCGCTATATTTGAATTATGTTATAGTGACAGTGGAATATGCTCTGCATCTCAAGAAGGAAACCTCCCTTTCAGCTCAAAGTGCAGAATTAGCCATTAGCATTGAGCGATCTGGTCAGAGTTGTGGATTTTAATAAGGTGGTGGGTAGTTGTGCACAGAGACAGGCGAGGGAGAAATGCCTCATCAGGCTTTTTGTCAGGCATTGAGTTAAATTGAGCTTCGGTGTGTAACAAGTGAGACAGCAGTGCACACGGTTGTGAATGGAAACTGCATGATAGTTAAATACTTAAATCTTGTATTGACAACTGACATGGTTCATTTTGTGTTTAATTTTGCCTATAGTAGCCATGCTGCTAGGTCTATTTAGTGTACACATCTAGACTCTAAACTTTTCCTTTAAAGAGTTTGTAATATATTGTCTGAAGTTCTTAAATTTACAGCTTGTGCTCAAAACACACATATTTATTGATGCACCTGACCAGAGACCACTGTGTAAGTTCCTATAGTGGCCTGTAAGATTCTTGCAGGGTCCCTGCAGTTGAATCAATAAAGCAGGAACACTGTCTGCATCTTGAATCATCCCATCTTTCCATCATTTACATGCAACTAATGGCATCTGCATCCATCGCTGGGAGGCATCTTATCAATTCAAGACCTCTCTCATATCATAGCAGATCCTGGAAATATGCTCCACAGATATGAAAACGCTCCTTCTGCAGCCAGCAGGCTACGGCAAAGACACTTTGTCCCCGCAGCTCTTCATTTTGATGCAAATGTGAGGCAGCCTTGCAGGTTTGAAGGGGGAGGGGAATTGGGACCAGGGGAAATGCAATTGAGGGATTTCTTTGTGAGGCCCGACGCAAATCCCAAATGTTCTCAGGGTTGAAAACAAAAACAGCATGGGTGCTCCACCGGGTACGTTAGCCCCTTCAATAGATGCACCTTCTGCCACACAAAAGCACTGAGGGCTTTCACGCCAAACTGTGCTTCAGGAATATTCCGCTCCTCATGATGGAAATTTACAAATCCAAAAAAACTGCAGCCATCATGAATCCAGCGCTGATCAAGTCCCTGGTTGTGTTATAAGACTTTTTTAGTGGTGTGATGAAGGGAGTCGCCCTGTCAGTCAGGGAGAACTAACGCCCACTGGGAGATCTCTGGCTGGCTCCTGTGTCTGTGTGAAGCCAGTGTACATGGTGGCATGTGGCTGGGATTAAGAAATTTCACTGTGGATTAAAATCTTTCCAACGCCTCCATGGCCACTTGCGTCTGAAGTTCCAGGAGAGGTCCAGTGAACAGTCTGGGTCCATGGTCTCAGTTCGCAGGTACGTTCAAACAAAGTTTTTTTTCTGCTAAAGTTGTAAAACTTTACTTTTACTATACTTTGAGTGTGTTTTGAAGTTTTGAGACATCTTTCTATTCAGTTCTATAACAGTATTTCCTTTAGTTAAGGATAAGACAGAAATGTTGCTTAAACATTTTATATAATTAAGAGACAACACATAATTGTGAAAATGCTTCTTTCTCTAGTTTTCTTGACTGTATGTATCTGGTAATGAGGATTTGGGTTAGTTAATTTAGTAAATTAATTTAACTTTTATGTCATCAGAAACTTTGTTGTTAACAAAAGATATATAATAGGTTATTAATAAGATTAATATGTGATAACCTTTTTATTTTTTTACAAAATAAGCAAGTTTCTTGAATCTCTATTGAGTCTAATCAGTAGCTGTTATGTAACGCTCAAAGTGAACCACGTGGTACATGCTGCACAGTACAATAACTACTCTCAAATAACATACTACATTAATCTGTCTTTATTGGGTTTGTCATATCCTGTTGTAGGTCGGTACTGAACAAATGTACTTCTATTGTAATGAAGAAAAAGGAATTTTAGATGTCATTGATTCACTGCCTGTTTATTTGCATGCTCTGACCGACATGTACAACTGTATTCTCGTTTGTGAAATGGATGTTATTCAACAATGTCTCCCATTAATCACTTGAACAAACAAATGCATTTAGTGGTTACCATTTTCCTGCAAAATAAAACAACAGAAACATCAGACACATTGTCGTACTAAACTGCAGAATCAAACGTTAATGCACCTGTTCTGTGTTGAAGTCTGTTTTCCCTCTGAATAGTGTTTCCTGTGTACTGCTGTTTTATGGCTGGTTGGGATGGGTACTAAGGTTGGGTTCAGGACAAAGGATAAGCCTGGCGATACTCTATATTTTTATTACTTTTAAAAAGTATTAGTATTATTACTATCAGCCCCAGGACCATTACTTCCTACTGAAGGTGTGACACTCTAAAAAAACAGGTCACGAATATATTTTCATCTTTTAAAAAGGTTTAGTTATTTCCAAACACAGCTGGATACTGTAGTGTTACTCAGACAGGAATAAATAGTGCATTTGTTTGGGATTTTTTTTTTTTTTTTTACTATTTTCAGCTGTGGATTAATACAAACTTAGTGCAGTAGTGAGTATTTATGGCAGCAAGACGGTGAATGTGGAACTGACTGAAAATAAAACAGTGCCCATGTTCATGTTAATGAAGGAACATGTCACCCAGTGTGACAGTGTGATGATTGATGCGTTTTTGGAGATAATGCAGACAAGGCTTGTTTGTTGGATCAATTCATTGTTAATTTTGGTCTTTTGATGGTATTTTCTGACTTAGAAATATAGAATATCACAGACTTACAGGTATGGGGACAGTTCGAAAGGAAAACAGTCACGACACTTTAAACAGATTCCTCTGGCTTAACTTTGTGGTCATTAAAGTGAATTGAATTTAATAATAATAATAATGATAATAATAATCATATATGTGAAAATATTTAAGGCTCAAGGAGCTGCTCTCTTCTTCTTCCTTTTTATTCCCCCGCTAAAGATTTTTTCCTTATCTGAACCAAGAGTTTAAAGATAGCGAGTGTCGTACGCTGTACGGATTGTGAAGCCCTCTGAGGCAAGTTTGTGATTTTTGGGAAAACTGACTTGACTGGTATTAGATAAGTTTTTGCTCTGAATTACGTAGATACAGCTTTGCACTAATCTTTGCCTTTGTTTCCTCCAGCTCCAGGATGTTCCAGCTCCCCCGGGGTCACATGAAGCCAGCTGGACACCGAAGTTGCAAAACCCGCCTGGTCACCAAAGACGGGCGCTGCAACATTGAGTTTGGCAACATTGAGTACAGTAACCACTTTGCGTACCTAGTGGACTTCTGGACCACCTTCGTGGAGATCCGCTGGCGCTTTGTTCTTCTCCTGTTTGTGGCTTCATTCACAGGCAGCTGGTTTATTTTCAGCCTGCTATGGTACTGGATCGCAAAGAGCAACGGGGATCTGACTGGACAGAACCGTACAGACGGACACGTCCAGTGTATAGACAATGTTAACGGCCTCACGACGGCGTTCCTCTACTCCTTAGAGACCCAAACCACTATTGGGTATGGTGGTAGGGCACTGACTGGGCACTGTGCTGGCACAGTGGCTCTAATTATCATCCAGTCTCTAATTGGAGTCTTCATCAACTGTTTCATGTGTGGCGTCATCTTGGCCAAGATCTCCTTACCCAAAAAAAGGGCGAAGACTGTCACCTTCAGCAACACAGCTGTCATCTGTTTGAAGAAAGGCAGTCTCTGTCTCCTGATCAGAGTGGCCAACCTTCGAAAGACCTTATTGATCGGCAGCCAGATCTACGGCAAGCTGCTCAGGACAACAATCACACCAGATGGAGAGACCATCATTCTGGACCAGGTGAACATTGACTTTATGGTTGACGCTGGTAAGGATAACTTGTTTTTTGTTTGCCCTATGACCCTCTACCACGTGATTGACCGATCGAGCCCATTCTACGAGCTTTCGGCCGACACGCTCCCCCAGCAGGACTTTGAGTTGGTGGTCTTTTTGGACGGGACGGCCGAGTCCACCAGCTCCTCCTGTCAAGTCCGAACCTCCTACATCCCACAGGAGATTCAGTGGGGGTACAGTTTTCTGCCCATCGTCTCCCGCACTAAGACAGGAAAGTATCGCGTGGATTTCTCAAACTTTTCCAAAAGCGTCCGGGTCACCACGCCACACTGCATCCACTGCTTCGAGACCGACACAGACCAGAGAAACCACAACAGCCACAACCAGCAGAAGACTGGGATCGACAACATGGGGTTTCAGGTGATTGACATTCACGATTTTGTTGATATCACTAAAATGTGAATGAGCAGGAGAGGAACTTGTACTCAGACTGAAAGTAAAGTGAATCAGGATGTGGGACATATGTATGAAAAAGTTTGAAAAACATTTGGTATTTCCTTTTAAGCAAACTTTCACTGTTAGTCAGACTATCTTTGCACAAAAATGAAGAAATATTGGGTCACACTGCTTCTTCCAGTGAACATCTGAATTACTGTCAACTCTTATGCCTTGAGCAGCGACAACACTCAAAGTTGTTCAACTGTGTGGATAAAAATTAAGACATGGGCAAGAGCTAAGCTGTTCATTTCAATCAAAGCGTCTTTGGGACTTGTGACTTTGTCTAGGTAATGTGTGGAAGCCAGAGGAAGAGGGATTGAAGTTTTGACGCGTAGAAAATGAAAGGGGTAAAATACTGGATGGCACAGTGGGTACTTCTTGAGGAGATTAGGGCCTGAGCCTGTTATAATGAAAAACTGTGTGCTATAAAGGCCGGGGGAGGACAAAAAAGTAGGACAGGCCTTTTGAGTTTTCTCATTATTCATCCTAATTTGCTAACTTTATGGTGTTTTTTTTTTTTGTCATGTTGACACATCTTGTGTGCCTTGATAATTAGGAAACTGTGAATGTAGCTGCTAAATGCGATGATTATAATTTTGACCAGTCTACATTTTGTAGATCATACCGTGTAACACTGAAACTTGTTCTCAGGGAAAGTTAACATCTTTAGTTGGAATAAACCTTTTTTTTTCATAATGAAACCAGCTTACTGTTATTTCCTCTTCTTCTTCTTCTTTTGTTATTCTCCACACTGAATATTTCATTAGCATCTGCTGGAGGTACATCAGAATTTTTATTATTTTAGAGTTAGCATTTATTCTGCTACACTAGCATATTTCAGAGGGAAGTTTTCATTTTTTGTGACATTGTGGGAATTTTTTTGTGTCAACCTATCGGTCAGAAATAAGAAAACAATCAAATATGAATATATACAGTACATGGATGAAAAGCTGTATAGGACTGTATAATACATTATGAACATGAACAATGGTGTAACACAAATGAAGTTCCTTTTTTAATTAAAAGTACCAAAGCATAAATGTGAAAATACATTGTAAGTAAAACACCTGCATTCAGATATTGATTCAAATAAAAGTAGGAGGTATTATCAGCAAAACATACTTGAATATTAAATGTACTAATGCAGAAAAAAGTAAATGTATATATTATATCACTGAAATAATTGTTGCTGGTGCATTAGTGTTTAAGCAGCATTTTGATACTGTAGCTGCGTCTAGGTGGAGCTCATTTTGATCACTTTGTGCTGTTGGTAACTTAATTCTATAACAATATGTCATACTTTCTAAGATTATTATAAATTATGTAAAATCTTAATCTGCAAGATAACAAGTTCCTATAGATGTCAGATAAATTTTGCAAAAAGTAAAACATACAAAATTTACAACTGAAATATAGTAAAGCAGAGGTTTTGAATACTACGATACAAAAATAAAATAAAAAGTACAAGTATCTAAAACTGGTAGTTATGCACAAACCATTCAGTGACCCCTATGGATGGTGGCCTTGTCATCCTGTTTCTCCACTCATTTATTCAGGTTTTTCCTTTAATTTGTCACCCATCTGTATATATACACCAACATAAATAGCAACTGAGTGTATTGTGACAAAAATAGTCAAAAATGACCCTTTACTGCATGTCTCTTCTCCCATTCTCTCTCCCCTATTTCCTGTCTCTCTCATTGTCAAATAACGGCATAAAAATTCCCAAATAACTTTAAAAAATAAAACATGGAACAACACTCACAGAGGCCATAATACAGCATAATGAGTACTTTTACTTTGGATACTTCAAGTACATTTTGCTGGTGATACTTTTAGCTCTTTCAAAGAAGGTCTCTTACTTCTACATTGTAGTATTGCTACTTTTATTTGTGTAAAGGATCTGTATACTGCACTCATCTGTTGCCCATGGTGAATTTTGAATGTTGTCACCATTGTCAGAAGTAATTACACATCTACAGCAAAAAGATAAAACAAATTCTCCCCAAAAATGTCTGGGGGGGGGAAACGTTAATAATGACTTCAACATTCAATATCTCTGTAAAAGAGATGGCTCAGCATGATTGTCATATCGACATATTCTCAGAGATTTCAAAGTATTAAACAGTGGAGAAATGTGACTTTGCATTTGAGAGTTAAATCAGCACTTCTCTGACACAGTCTCAAAAAACCCTGAAGTTTATTCACTTCATAAAAGGTTTTATTGTATCTCTTGTGTTGGATTTCATTAGACTAGACTGATGTGCAGCGATGTGTTTTCTAAGATCACATGCAGAATTGTGCTGATGTAGCTACGGACTATAAACATTCATGTATGTTTACATCTATGGCCAAGATGCTTCCAACAGAGGCTGTGTTGTTCTCACTATGAAGCAAGAGATGAACTAAGAGGTTCTAAGGTCGGATTAAAGAAGCATTAAGAGATTTCTGATGCAAATACACTGCGTACATTGTTAGTAAGTATACAATACGCTGCAACTACCTGCTGCTGCGAACACTGATGTTTGGATAAAGGGTTCATCAGTTTGTTTATGATTCAAAATGTGTAGTTTCCTGAGCAGATACAATGGTTATCTGACAAACTGCCATTCTGCATAATTAATACTTACACATATTTCAATGCTAATACTTTTGTACTTTTACTCATGTAAAATCAAAAAAATTTCAAATGGAAAAATTTGACACCTCTACTTACACTAGATTCTAGATCACAAATATATGATCAACGTATAAAATATGATCCAGTTTTCATAGCTATAACTACTTTTAGTCTTATTTAATTACAAATGGTCCCTTGACATAAAATTAATCAGCAACTTATTTGATGATCAATTAATGGTTTTGGTTCACTTTTCAGGAAAAAAAATAACACCAATTTTTGTGGTTCCAGCTTCTCAAATGATACAAATATTTTATGTCTGTCTTTTATGATCGTAAGCTGAATAATCTTTTGGTTTTAGACTGTGGTTTGGACATAGATATCACCTTAAGCTTATTGAATTTGTCAGTTAATCAAGACAGAAAAATAATCATTAGTTACTGTCATAGTATAAAGTTAAAATGAGCTCGCTCTTGACCAACAACGCTAAAATGCTTCCTGCATGTTTATGCATCACTGCTGATGATCTAATAATATAACATCGAATAATAAAACACTAACAGCAGCCAATCTTACCTAATTGCTTTTGAAATTTTGCTGATAATACTTTTGTACTTTTACTTCAGCAGCTGGAGTATTTTTACATGGCTATATTTCTACTTTTAACCACAGCTGGTTGTTATTTTCAGTATTACAGGGAATGAAAGTATTCAGTATGAGCCAGTGGGGACTCATCCTGATGATTCAGCGGTGTAAGACTTGTATCATGTAAACACAGCATCCTTGCTTGTTACGCACCACAATCCCTGTCTGTCTCCACTATTACATAAAGGTGGTAAACAAATGCGATAAAAAGAAAAAAAAAAAAATCTGTGACAGCTGGCCTGGCCACTAGAGAGCATCAGAGTGCTACTATGATTATGACTCACATAAAAAATATTATAATAAACAATTAATTCTGCAATAAAGATGTTTTTCCAAACTGTCCCAGTTCTGCCAGCAGTCTCTCTTTCATATGCACAGGCATGTTTGAAAAGGTTCAGCCTACAAACTTTTGATGTTCCCACTTTTCCCCAGTGCCCTGCAGTTTACTGATGACAGCAGACAGCAGCAACAAAACAACCCCTGATAAAAAACCATCTACTGCATCGTGTTGGAGTGATGGACCTTGTTATTTAGCAGCAGCGTGTCTCTGAGGGTGTTCCAGCAGGGAGTCAGGTTGTTCATTTAAGACTGGCTCTAGCATTTTTCTCAGTGAGAGAGAGACTTCTGAAATGGCTTTCATCCCATTTGGATTTACATAGGCCGAGTTAACTGGGCTTCATCTGCATAACAATGAACAGAACTGTTGAGAGGGATTGGCACAGTGAGTCTGAAGCAGCCGAAAAGAAAAAAAATAAGCCAGATGGAGATGAGAGGACTGAGTGGAGGATACAGCAGTATTTGTTAATCTGAAAGAGCCAAGGGCTGGTAGACTGATAACAATCACACTTTATCCCCCATGTGGTGGAGACGGGGTAAATATCCACTCCAGACTGTAACTATTTGGACAGTTGCACATTTTTCAGGCTCTGTGTTTCAGCACATTCGGTTTGAAGTAAATTAAGAACACTGCAATACAGACAGAACTGTGTGGGAGATAAAGTCCTTTTTGTTACGGAGCAGATGGTACCAGCACAGGCAGGGAGGACCTTTAATTGATCTTTAATAGATCTAATAAGGAGGACAGATGGAGGGATAACAGGTAGGCAGGCAGGTACAGACAACAGGTTACTCCAGGCGAGTACCAGGTCCATACGGAAACATGCAGGAACATAAGCAGAAGATCTCAAGTTTGTTTGCTTCGGTCAGATTCAGTTGATGAGTTTGTAAACTTGGAGCATTTTCCCCTTGGTTTGGTTTGCTTTCACACGGAGAAAAATTTCAGTGGACCAAAACGCCAAAACAAATCATACCAAGGGGGAAAAAAGAACGGTTTAACTGGACTAAACAGTGCAGGTGTGAAAACACCCTCCCAAGGAGCTGGTGGAAATGGCTGGTTTAAGTACTGGCTGGGATAACGAGGAAAGTGGGAAAAGGTGTGTGTGCAGGACAGGTGGATCTGGCAGTCAGGTGACTAGGATGGGGAGGAAAGTCTGAGGACATCTGATAGGTGGATTGAGAGTGACAGGATTGGGAAGACCTAAATATCCAATGTTGAGACAGGAATCGTGACAGCAGGATGGTAGGTCCAGTGGAAGGAGCGAGAAGAAGACTAAATGCTTTTAACACATAGTGTCCAAAGTTTATGGGTTCAAAAATAATTGGACAGATATGCATGAAGTCATACTAAATTCTATTTGCATTTTTTTTTAAAACACCTTTGCAATTGATGTCTGCCTGAAGTTTGCGAGGTCTCTGTTTTTAGTTTGGTCTTCAGCAGGTGGATTGAAATCAGGAGAAAGACTCAAGTCAGTCAAGGATATTCTGCCTCTTCACCCTGAAAAGCTCCTTGGTTGCTTTGGCCATATAGTTAGGATTGTTGTTCTGCTGAATGATGAAATATCTTGCAATGAGTTTTGATGCATTTGGCTGAATCTGAGCACACACAATGCTCCTGAATACCTCTGCATTCAATTCCATTGCTTCATCATCAGTGAATTCATCAATAAATGCCAGTGAGCCCCTTCCATTGGCAGCCACACTTGCTCAAGCCAGAAGAGAAGCAGCACCATGTCTGACAGATGAGGCGGTGGCTTTGGGTCATGAGCTATTCCTTTTTTTTCATTATCATTTTGATAGCAGTTTATTTTTGTTCCAGGACTCTACTGGTTTCTTTTTGTATAGAATAGAAAGAAGAGCTGAAGAAGCCTCTTGAATGAGAGGTGAAGTATCTGCAATCATGTCTAGTTGCCCTCTATTCAACTGTTGTTGTATAAGGGTGACCTGAATGATTCAGACATCTTTCTTTTAGTATGTCTTTGCGAACTGCAACCTTGCCTTTCTGTTTTTGAGGCTTACCAG